CCTAAGCCTAACTCTCAAAATATTCCGGGAACACAATGACCAACACAACCAGTGGGGGGGGGGGGGGACTTCAATCCAGCGTTTATACATTAGTGGCCACTACTATGGTCTGAAGCACCTCTGACCTGGAATCTCAAGTTCACGAGTGAAAACCAGGTACGACTCTTTTATCGAACCCCGGTTTTTTTTTTGTTAAAAAGGCTCTCAAAAGTGACTGACCGGAAATGTTTGATTTTATCTTTAGTCCAACCCGATATTGTCCAATTATTGATGAAAAACCCACCAGGTGACACCGCTACTGGAGGCAAACAACAGGCCACCTTGGGATTTTTCTTAAAAGCAAATATATACACCCCAACATCCCAACAAACAAACAAACAAACAAACAAACAACACCCCAACAGCCGTCTTTTTGGCAATCAAACAGCCGTCGTAAACTGTACATCATAATAAAGTCGTCAATACGTAGCTCTGCGCCAATTTCATGGTACATGTTGTTGAAATGCTGAATTTGTCGGGGTCGATACTCCGTAGGCAGTTATCTACGCCTTTCATGTCATTACTGTCGGCCTTAACGGCAAGGGAAGGACATAAACCTATACAAGACGATATACGGTATCACACAACGAATGTCATATTCAATAGCCATTCACTCAACAAAAGTCTATGACATACAGACACTCCCTCCGCGCACACAACTGACATTGCTTGTGAGTCGTTCACAAATAGAAGAGCGATATTACCTTGCCTTGGGATTGAAGAGACAAGTTGTGATACGTTACGTGCTGAAACTGCTATCGTGCTGCGTTCGTAGAGTTCCAAGTTTATCTTGTGCCGTTAGCCGTGGTGTTGGGTCCTGCGCGTTCCTTTTTCGTTGTAAATATTTGTTGACAGAAGAAAAGGTACTTCTTTCTGTGAAATCACTTTGCTGATGAATCAAAATTTACATTGCCATTAATCAAAATGTATTTAATAAGTCCCCAAGTTCCTGCTAATGTCATTTGATTCTTGCATTTTTCCAATGTGTTTTCTATATTTAGTGTCTATATGGTTGGTGTGCAGTGCTTTTTCGTTATTCACGAAACAAACACTAACGGTGCCCAAAATATATAAAACGACACACCGGGCAAACAAGTGCACTGTAAATATAACATTTCGAGTGCCGGGTCTTCAACTGAACAGCCAAATAATGATAAAGCGACGTCAGAACGTGACTAGCCATTCCGGGAAAAATTACAAAAGACCTCCCCGCGCCCAATATACTTCCGATTTCCGTTGCTGGGAGACCGCCCGAGAAAAATTCAATATGTCACGGTAAAGAAATCATCAAAAACCGCCGGCGAGGACATGATGTGACACGTAATCAGACTTACCTATGATGAACGAAAGGCAACTGTCATGCGGCTATGTTTTTTTTTTTTTTTTTGGTGGTCATTTTTTTTTCATCGTACTCATCTCATCGTTCAAGGTCCAAGTTGCCAGTTTTTTTTATATTAGATGAAAACACAAGCCTAGTAAAACACAAGGCATGGCGTTTTCCGAGTTCAGTTTTTTTTTTGCGTGAGGGTTTGGATTATAGTTGACGGCCGGCCATCCGGCATTAGTCACGTTTTTTTGTTTTGTTTTTGAAAGACTAGAACTGAATTTATTCCATTAAATGTTAGTGGCGTCGTAAAGATGCATACTCGAGATAGATTGAGCAAGTCAGATGTTGGCAGATAAACTCTTGAGGGTATCGGTAATGCACGCTGTAAGTACAATATCTAAACAATCCAGACCATTCTTTTTGTCGAACCAGATGTAGGCCTGCAGCCCTACAGACTGACAATCAGACGGACGGACAAATTGACAGCACGACCGATAGAGATAGAGATAGACATTTCAATGAGTAATGTTAACACTGTGGGGTCATTAGGCTTCTAAATACAATAGTTGATTCAAAATGACTACACGTTAAACCAAGTCTACTTTCTTCACATATTAGATCAAATTTGGCCGTCCATAATCATTCACGACCCAGGCTTCGCTAGGTACAAAGATTTCTATAAATTTGGGGTCCACTTTTGTTCCCTGACCCCGATATGAGTTATTCTGATGCACTCCTTAATGCAGTCATCCTCCAAGAGTGATTATAAATAGCAAACTACCTACCCCCCCCCCCCCCAAATTGGAGTCATTCTTAATGATACTTGAATGGCAAATTAAAATGTACCAAGGTAAAACAGGGACAGGAAAAATGTCACACTTTGGACCCTAACTTTATAAAATGGCCCAACAGCACCGTTAGTTTCATTGTCAGCAGTTACTAACGTTAATAGACCGTATTCACGTGATGGCCATTTTCAATCGTGTTCCCCGAATCTATTTTACAAATTGTAAATTGTTGAATGGTTTTTAAAAAAATTTTTTTTAAAGAAGTTGTGGAATAAACAGGACTCGTTTATACTACGCTTAACGGGAGTCCTGTTTATTACGTCACGATTTACTATGTTTTGTTTGCTGCCCCCAACGACGACTTTTACACAAATTACACGTTCGGGTCGAAACAGGACCTGAAAAACAGCTCTCAAAAAGTACCTTTTGTACTCATTTCATGACAGACCCAATAGTAGTTTTTATTTCATCACACCTTAGGCTACATATACCTGAAAAATGACGGAAATGTCTTCGAGCATTCTACCACCTCTTTACATTTTTTCACCAGAGCAGACTGGCATTACTTTGAACTTTTATTTCATTGCTTTCATTTCTACTCGCAAGTTGCAAAAAATGATGACTTTACTCGCCTTCAAATTCAAATGGTCGACTCGTGAGTAAAGTCTACTGGACAAGCCTAAAACTTTCATCCAACAAATGCAACCATGAGTCTATTTTATTAACCGGTTCCGGCAGCAAAATGTGAAAATCTCAAAACACGCACGTTGAACCGTTATCACCGACCCGTAATCTGTAAGTTATAGTCGCTGACACCATCAGTCCACCTTACATGATTTATCAATTATGTACCGTGTCAAGTAGTGGATACCGCGCAAGCTGCGTAAGTGCAGTGTTGATAATGGATAACGGCTGATATCAAGGCCAAAGGAACGTGAAGATCTCAAAATCAATTTGCATAGAGTTTATTCACGCTTCTTGAATTAAGCTGAACTGACAAGCATTTGTCAAGATTAAAGGCGTGTGCTTTTTACTGTGGTCGGAATTTCTGCTCAGATGTACAAAAAAGCTCTGGAACGAAGTTCCACGTAGTAGACAGAAAAATAGCAGGGGATCTGAAATGAAGCATGTACCTCGATTTTTATTTATTTATATATTTTTTCTTAAAATATAATAACATTGTTTAAACTTGTGCATCATATGCGCATCATGTCAAACTAACAAAACTATTCTCTGATTCTAACAGTCTACAAAAGGTAACAACAGTTCGTATTCTACAATGTGTAATTTTTTTCCACGAGGCTGATGACCTATGTTTCTATGGCAACCGAAATTTCCCGCCATGGATTGCTATACCCCTGTCAGCCATGCCTCCATGACAACAGGCGAGGAGGCCATTGTTTACGGATGACTTCCCGCCCAATTTTCTGTAATATTTTACTGGAAGGGAACAAAATTATATACCGTGTTTATTTTTTTCCTTCGGCTGGCCAAATCATATTTTCTGTTACAAAATTATGATTATTTAATATAATTTGTGTTTTGTGCACAAGGACCAAAATAGCAGTTATGTTGGCAGTCGGGTTGTTTTGGTAAGGCATTGTGTACGATAACAAACGCAAGATGAATTGTTTGAACCTTTCATTGATATCGTGTTGGTGGAAGGTACTGGCTGGGGCGGGATTCCTTTGTTCAATCTGATATTGATTTACAGTGAACCTGTGCAGTTTCCCTTTCTGGCTTATTATTGTTGAATCATTACGCCAGATCAAGAAGGAAGCAAAACGCATAACACGGCGACAGTTATATAGAGAACACGTTATTTGGTGTCCATTTTGGGCATAAAAGTTCAAATAGGCTATGGACAGGTAGTATTTTGTTTGTTGAGGTTTTGGGTTCTCGCTAGGATGACCGTATCCAAAAAATGAAAAGGTTGTGAGCTTGCGACATAATCATCATCAGATGTTGGGAATAGCCATCACTTTGTACCTCATCTGCATAAGATTATTTTGTTAAAGTGTGGACGGCATTACGTCATTGTCAGCTTAACTAGATAAGCCAATGTAAAACAAAATCTCGGATGTACATGTCCACACCCGCCTATTGGTGTATACACACTCTTTGATTGGTTCTTTTGCTGAGAGGCGACACCTAATGGTTCTCCTCCGCAGTATAAGTGTTCCTCGGTCATGAACCCACTTGCTTCAGAATGTTATTGTCAATTTTTAAAAGTTCCTAAACTTATTCTCAAATAGCCTTAGAATGCAAGAAAAAGCATTGTAGATTTCAAAGTTTTCCGGGGCTTGCTATTGGCTCGCCTTCACTCCACCCCTCCCTAAATTCAAATCAACCCTCCCCCGCATCTGGAAAGCTAGATCCGCTCCTGTAGGCCCTATACATAATACCCGACAGCCGGTTTCCAAACATTGCCTGGTCTCCAGCCTCCGCTGCAGGACATTCCCCTGTCGTGAAGGAATCCGGCTCAACTTTGCTCTTTGTGCCGGAAACATTAAAAATCATTTAGTTTGGACAGTCAAGGCTTTTCGACGATTCTGATGTCGGTTTATGAAGCCCGAACCAGAACGAAGCCGTTGTTTGAAAAACCTCTAATTTACCGTAATTTATTTCCGATCGTTACACTGACACAGCTTCGCGGTGTCAAACGTTGATTGTTTATTTCATTTGTGGCCTTTTTTTTTTGTTGAATCTAATTTCCTTCCATCTCAAATTGCTCGTACGATTTGAAGACCGACATGCAATCAATAAATCAATAAAAGTATCCAAACTAAACAGGAGCCTTTTTCTCATTTTTTTTAAAATTGTTTTTTAATTAATTGTTTTGACAGATTGGGTGTGCTCCAACATCATCCACAACTTGGCTTCGATGACAAATACAAAACAATTGAGTAAGTTATTGACCTACGATGTATGTGTGTGGTATATAATATGTTTCTAATTCCCTTGTAAATTATGATATACCTGAGCTGACTGCTCTATCTCTCCCTCCAAACCCACTCCTATCCCCAGTCCAAGTATCCCCAATTCCTATACTTGAGTTCTACGATTCCCATCTTTCATTGTGATTTGGTGTAGCCCATTTTACCCGCAAAGGATCATCGTAGTTCCTACTTTTATTCCCACTTTCATACCTCAGTACCCCTACTTAAACATTTCCACCTGTTCCCATCCCATCCCCTATATACTTGATTCTACCCAGTCTCACTTTTACCCCAACCTCATAGGGTTACCATCCTTGTACCTCTTCCCGTGTGTAACCCGTCCTATAAGTGTCCAACTTAAGCTGACTTGAGCTGATTCAAAATGTTACCTATTAAGAGTACATGAGCTTGTGTACATTTCTGCGAAGAGAATGAGTGAATGCTCCTTAGGCCCGCCATAATTTGCCTTAGTGACAAGTTGGTGTTGAAAACTTTGCACGATAAGTTATTGGTTCATTGGTAACGCCACAAGCCAAAACACAAACCAAAAATGGATATAAATATTGTCCCCAATTTGCCTATTGAGATTTTCGTGTAAATCCTTCCACAGTGCTATAACCAGGTGTGAAACTAGTCGTTGCATGCACTATGCGTGTGTTGCTTGGTACCAAGTGGTGTTGCCAAGAGCCCATTCTTTTGCCCTATGTTCTTTATATAGAAATCGGCATGTTTCCCGCCCCATACCCCATGAAACCTGCCTGTGCTATCGAATGGAACCAGACCTTGCATTTTGTGCCATAGTTTAAAATGGCTCCGACAACTGAAGTTCCCTTCAACAACCCCCCAATATCCTTCCAAGCCCCACCTGTAAACTGACAGAGTAAAAACAAATATCAGTGACGGTAACTATTGAAACTTTGATTATTTTATATACCAAACCTGACAATGTACAGCGATTGTTGCGGCTCGATCAGCGAATCTCATATCATCCTATTGGGTCACGCCACCGTCTGATCTAACAGTGTACATAGAGACGTCCGGAGGTTAGTCCAGGCTACACCTTGCTTCCAAATCTACACAATTTACAATTTCCCCCGCCAATTTCACCGCCATTTGCTTTGTACATTTCTCGCCAGACTGGCATTGACGCACATGCTCACTCAGGCTTCTCATAATTATTGCACGCAGGGAGTACAGCTGCCACCTTCATTACACACATCATTATCAGCAAAATCGTCATCTTTATCATATCATCAGTAATCGTGTCATCATTACTTTGCGCCAAAGCCGAGATACAACTTCATCACAATGCCAAAACCATCGTCTAGGCAACATTGACAAACATCATATCATTGTTGCAAGAAAATCACACCACTCAATTTTTTGTCAGTAGCAAAACCAGCATTATGAACATCATTGCCACTACCAACAAATATACACTATTAACCTCGCTATTACACGCAAAATCAACCAATCAAAACCAATTTATCCTCATCAACATCATCATTAACAACAACATCTAGAGTTGACGACATCATGACCTAAAATTTCAGCTTCAAAATCATCAAGACATCGTTATATAAGAGTAAAATTAACAGTAATAACACCACGCCACTATTACCAAAAAACTCATCATCAACAGCATTGTTATCAATGACAAAACCAACAAATTAAAATATAATGCAGCATCATTGTAATCTTCATCTTACTGTGCATAATTATAACGTTCGCTGGACAATCTTAGCATCAAAATCATGAACAAAAACACATAAAACAACACTCAGCTTACTTTAATTCAATTTTTAACACTATTAAAAGAGGGCAAGCACACTATTTGGCACTTTCATATGACTTTATTTTGAAAAACAAAACAATTCAAAGCGCTGCTTAAAAACATCATAATTATCTCTCTCTCTGGTTTTCCTAAGGGTTTACCCACGAATAGGAGATACAGAGAAGCTAGCTAGAACTCAAACGTCAAAAAAGTGGCATGGCTTCGCAGCCTCTGAAAGGACACAAAATAGTCTCCTGCTTGCCTAAAATCATGCTCATACAACGCAAACCAGCTATTTTTCCCCACCGTAGAATAGTGCTCACAACTTGTGTATGACATTCATCGAAAATTCAGCATGATTTATCAAGCATGACTAGATCACACCCTTCCATTGCACGTTTGCTATCCTGTCCACAATCCAATGTATTTGGAGCATTTCCGTTTGTCTGTTGTGTCAAATCCCAGTCAATTTCCTGACTTATCCCGTATGACATTTCACAGCCAAACCTCAGGCAAGTGGCGTTTATAATAATTGGTTCAATAGATTATTACAAAATCAATTAGCACTGCCCCTACGGCAGAGAAAAATACACCTCAATTGTTCAGTTATAATGATACATTTTGTTGAAGGTGACATTCTGAATTGCCTTGCGATTAAAAAAAATGCACGAATTGTCCTTGTACTTTGCGCAATATACAATGTATATTGCGCAAAGTACAAGGACAATAAACTCACCTCCTGACTTTCAAAGTCATTTACTTCTTTTGTCATGATGTAATATGTTGGCTTTTGTTTGTTGTTTTGTTATTACCTCCGCCAAGGAGGTTATGTTTACATCGTGTTGGTTGGTTGGTTGGTTTGTCTGTTATCTGTTAACAAGATAACTTAACAAGTGGTTAATTATGGACGGATTTGCATGGACATTTTTGTAGGGGTGGTCCTTGGTACAAGTAGAAATCCATTACATTTTGGAAGTGATCCGGATCTGGGTCTGGATCCAGGATTTTTTTACGGATTCTGCATCATTTCATGCAAGTATTTCTTTTGGGTGTACTGACAAGCATGTCAATAGATGGCGCCCTCCAACACTCGCGGTCATCGCGCTTTGCAGTTGTTTCCCATCCGGGTATTTCTCAGGCCCCACTGAAGGCTCCCACATTGGCACAATATGGCGGGAATTGTTTAGCCTTGGCGGAGGTTTGCTCTCTCTGAGTGCTTTCTAGTTTCATTTTGTAATATTCTTTTTGAAGCAGTAATTTCCATCAAAGTCTTGCGCTAGCTCTTTTGCTCATGCAACACTATCGTGACAGTTAACTTCCCCCTTAATTGTTGACATTTTGTAATTATTATTATTGTTTACAAATAAACCGAGTTCAAGCAGTCTCAACCGAGGATCAACACTATGACGGTATAAAAACTAAAACCCGTGTCTTTGGACAGCTAGCTGCTCGGTGTAAAATGGAAGGTGTGCATGGCGCCCTCTTTGCCGACGACAGGCCAGAAGGGGCTTCCAATTATTTTTTGCGCAATTTGGTAAAAACAGATTGGATATTCTTTTTTTTCACTGTAATTTTCTTCAGTAACTTAGAATTTAGTTTCAAAAACAAAAGTTACATGCTGTTTCGTGTTAGGTTTTTGTTGTGCTTTGTTTGGGTTTGTTTTGTTTTTCATATGGTGGCTGTGAGAGTGTATGCTTATGTTTTATTGATAAAGCTACATCTAAGGAATCGATTTAGCCCCTTTATGATCGTATGTTTGCTTTCAAACAGTGTATTTTCAGTCCATGTTGGCGTTTGAACTTATCAGTGTGGCAGCAACGCTGGCGGGCTGCTGCATAGCAACAATCGCCATCTACAAGAAACAGCCGTTGGCCGTCCTGGTAGCCGCATTCACTATGTTCTTTGCAGGTATTTAAAAAATATCCTGTTTGATTCAAAATTATTTAAGTTGATCACAGAAATTGACCAGAGCGGGCGGGGTATGAACCTGTGACCTCCGGATTGCCGTTCCGGTGGTCTATACCTATTGGGCTATCCAGCCCTATGTTGGCGGTTCCCTATTATGTCAATGTCGTTCAATGCACGCTTGTCAGAAGCCATAATCCCATTCCATGTAAATGTCGTGTAGACTGGGATCTTACCCAGAATAAGTAGCAACGAGCTTTAATAGCTGTACTGGGCTTTCCCAATAGCGGATCTAGAAGAGTATTTGGGGGTTGCACCCCCCCCCCCTTCAGGCGCATAATATTAATATTATAGTACTAGTAATATGGGGGAAACAATCAAACTGAAATGCTAAAGTTCCTAAACTTATTCTCGAATTACCTTAGAAACGAGAAAGCATCGTAGATTTTTCAGGGGGCATGTCCCCGGACACCCCCCCCCCCCTGCAGGGCACGCCTTCACTCACCTCCTCTTATATCAACCCCTCCCCACCCCGTTTCCTGAAAGCTAGATCCAGCCCTGTTGCCTAGTCTTGTTCTAATGTCATCCATAATAACTGTTTTTTTTCCCCCTCAGGAATGTTCATGTTAGTTGGTCACCTAATGATGCTCAGTATCCACAAAGCCAAGAACGGCGAGACCACCGAAAATAGCTGGTACTACGGCTGGTCCTTCATCGTGGCCTGGCTGTCCTTCTGCCTGTGCCTGATCTCCGGAATCATAAACTGTGTCGTGTACAGGAACTTCCGCAAGATGTCGGAGGAATTAACTGGGACGCCCTCTCGCGTCAAGTACGCCAACAGACCGCCGCCAGTCAGCCTCGGCTCCAGCATTTGAAAGTGGCGTTCACAATCTTTCGGTGGTGGATTCAGAATGACATAATCAAAATACTTGTTCATCTTTTCCCATGGTTTTTATATCGATTACGGCCTTCAATAATATAATCAAAGTATGTGTTAGTTGTTTTCGGATTATCCAATGGCGATCGCGCCTCTCTTTCGGTATAGGTTATGTACATAGATTGGTTTGTTTTGAAAATTGACAACACTGATTTTTTAATTAGCAAAATTGTCCGTTTGATGAACGAACTTTGAAAGACTTGATTCATGTCGACGGTTGGCGCCGATAAACGGTTGACGCGGGCACCCCACCGCTTGCAGAACAGCTTGCATGTCATTCTTGGAACACGCATGAGAAAGAGAGAGAAAAAAAACAAGAACCGAAAATGACCGCTTAAGGCTTCCGTACAACTGAGCAAAAATAGCTTGCCAGTGAGGGCGGTTTCGTCAACAGCCATTAGTAGAATTATGATGACGAAATGTTATGACACAACACATTATTTTGAGCTTCGGTGGACAAAGATACAATTCAGATCCATCGGCGGATCTGTCGGCTTACAGTTAAGCAACGTTCATAACAGGTCAGTCATTATTATTATTAATCATTTCTGGTAATACACTGAGTATACAGTGTTTAAACGTCGGTGAAGGGCAAAACCTAATTTGATTTATATCACCCAGACGCAAAATTCCATCTTATAATACATTTCTGGTAATGAAACCAAGGATTCCTCAAAAGCGCCCTAGGCACTGCAGCTCGCAAGCCTGAAGAAACCTGTGGAGAGAAGACAGTGAGAAGAAGTTACAGTTTTATAGAGGTGGGAGGAAAAGCCGAGAAGAATATTCTGGGGAAAACCCACGGAATCAGGTAGGGACTGAAAGCCCAATCCACATATTGGCCCAGGCGGGATTCGAACCTGGGTCACAGCGGTGGAAGGCGAGGAAAGTACCGCTACGCCAACCAGACTCACTAGTCAAGTCACACTAACTAATTATAGGGTCCATGCAATGTAATTGTTTTAAGCAGTCCTTGCAAATTCACCTTTGTATTCCTATTTAACCTTATTTTCAATTTGTGTTTTGGCATTTTCATATGCATTTTGGTGCCTTTTTGCTTTTTATGCTAATGCGAATTTCCATATTTACGAGCAAAGTGTGATGTCATTACAGGCAGAAACCTCAATGTTTCAGCTCCAAAAGGTGTCAGAATTTTGGATACTTGGCCGTCGTAAATGTTCTATTCTGTGGTGAGTAGTTGTGTCAGTACTTGGCAGTAAGCCAGTGGGCAAACTTTTTTCAGAGATGTTTGCAATGAGCAAAGTTTTGGGTTCACAATTTGAACAGAAACTCCTAAACTGAACAGTGTCTTCCTGAAATGACATCACAGCAACAGCACCCTCGGTTGTCCAGAAAATGGACATTTTCAATACAATTAACCAAACAAAAAGAGGGATGTCATAGTTTTCAGACATTTAAGAGAAGTAGAAAGTTGCACAAAATGTGTTCCTCAAAAGAAAAATTCATTTCACAGACCCTTTGAGGTAACACTGGTACAAGATGCAAACCTGTGTCCTAGCTCATTTTGAATAGCTTTCGCACACACTCGAGACTTCATGACTTGTTAATATCAGTGAACGGAAGAGGGCGCTATTAACATTTACAGCTCGAGCACGAAAGTTGATTGCAACCTTCGTGAGCCGATATATCACACGTCTAACACCAACAATCACTGAAAATCAGGGAAGGGTCCTGTTTGTGAAGTTTTGCGTTTTCATCTGACGGTTTTATGTAAACAGTTATACCAAGTATAGATAACTTCTATAGATACTTCTCGGTGCCTTCTTCAATCTTCTATATTCTTTATGTAGATATGCTTCCCCAACCTTCATGATAATAGCAGCACCGATGCAGCCCATGGGCGTCGCCAGGATTTTTCCGGGGGGGGGCAAAGCAAATTTCCCCCCAAAATTCCTTAAGTTTTCATTATATTCTCAATTTATCATTTTTCCGAGCGTGAGCAGGGGAGCATTTGTCCCCCCCCCCATCATACTAACAGCAATGTGGCTTCGCACCTCTTCCCCCCCTTTTTCCCACTTTTTTTTTTCGTTTTCCGGGGGGGAGTGCCCCCCCCCCCCTCGCGACGCCCATGATGCAGCCTATAACTCACAGTCTTTTGGGATCGTCTAGAGATGGAAAATTTAACGAACAATTTTCAAGACACAATATACCATGGACACTATACATGAATATTGATCTAAGTTTGAAAGTGAAGGTGTGCCTCGTCTGCAGCAGGATCTACAAAAGGCGACTCGTAGGTTTCTGAGCATTGTGCCGAGTGTTAACACTAAATCGATGGGACTTTTCGAAACCTTGGGTTCGACTCCGGCGTCAGCTGCAGGGGAGGCCCCACAGTATTTATGAATTCTTGAGGAGCCTCAGGTCCTATCAACATGACGCAAAAGTGTAGAGTATTTCGGCAAAAATGGTTTGGACATTAAAGGCTTTCAAAAAACTCCTGGATCTAGACATCAAGGCACATCTGGGGACGGAGCCGAGCTTTGGAAAACGTCCCCAACTTTAAACGTTGTTATATCAAACATGATCGTACCGACTGCAATTTTAGGGGTTTTCACTAAAACTGTACATTTCAGAATATAATTTCTTTTGCTGGTGTCCACCTTCGAGTTTAGAGCTTACATTTTATCAATTATTCGATGTATCCTTATCAGCTGTAAATACCGAACTAACATCTATGCACGATTTTTGTCACATTTATCAAGTGGAAGTTGTACAAATCATAAAAATTTTAATATATATATATTATATTATTGTATAATATTACAGAGTGTGTAACACACTGCTTGTTCTTATTCTAATTGAGGGTTTAATGATGATTGCGGCAAGTATTATTTACACACAGACTGGGACAGAATCTATTACGGACAAAATTACTAATTAACCGCAGGTTTCGGTTGGACATGATATTTCAGTGCCTGTATAATGAACACACAATTAACAGAGTTGGATGATACTTTACAAGTGATGAATGCTTACGAGTGCAATGGTAAGAATACTTTCACGAGGCGGCAGATGGAACTGTTCCATTCCACGGGAGGCGACGCCGAGTGAAATGGAACATTCCATCTGTCACCGAATGAAATTATTCTTTTCATTGCACAAATGTGAAACATTCATTATTTGTTTTTTTTTATACAACACCTGAATAAATCTTCGTCATCCGATCGGTCAGAGCCTCCAATCGTGTGACCGTGAAATACAAATTCTACTCACCGTAGAATATAACTTCTATTTGTGCGGTGCGGCCGCGTGTGGGTTGGGAGGAATAAATCAATGACACATGATCAAGGACCCACCAACATCAGATGACGGGGATTTATTCAGGCGTTATAAAATAACGAACATTGACTGAAAAAAAATGTGTCTTTGCTTGAGTAATGAAATTCACTTGTTTGACTTTTTGCTGGTCCCAGAGTGAAGCTTAGTGTCACTGCGCTTACCTCACTCACTGACTGACTCACTGGTACTTGTTAGCCTGGCAGTGCTATCGTATAGGATTCACCCCGTAACGCCAATGGATGAGCCAAAACCAGCCTTTGTGCACACCAGGGCCCAATTTCACGGCACTGCTAAGCACAAAAATTTGCTTAGCACAAAAAAGTCTGGCTTATAAAAGCAGGTTATCAACCAAAACTCCATGTGATTTTCATGCTAAGCAAACAACAGCTGAATGCTAATCACGAGCAATATACATCATATTGAGTTTTGGCTGGTAACCTGCTTTTATAAGCCAGTCTTTTTTGTGCTAAGCAAATTTTTGTGCTTAGCATCGCAGATGAACAGAACGAAGCTTCCAGTGATCAGTCATTAAGGAGCATTCGAGTCAGATTTGAGTATACTATTTGCACTCGGGGACCAGCTTTACTTGGTTTGCCTTTTCTCGTTTTGGATTCTGAGATGTCGTAAAAGAAGCAAGTTGTTTATTTTTATTGATCTGCAAATACGGACTTATCAGATTACCATTTTGTTTTCTCGCTCAACAAAATATCTATCGTTATTATGCAAACAATTATCAAAATTCATATAATTATTAAAGATTGTTATATCGATCCTTATACATGTGATTCATACTTAAGGTGTAGAAACTTTGGTGTAGTAATTTGTTTATGGGGGCACCAGCATTTTGTTGAAGGGGGGGGGGGGGGTTGAGAGGGGGTGGACCCCATTTGACGTTATAGTTCGAGCTCTAGCATCGATTTAAAAACTAGTCGTCTACTTTCCTCTTCTGGTTTAATTACTTAAAACAAACGATTGCGGAGATTGCGGAGGGGATTTATTTTCCGGGGGGGGGGCACCTTGGGTCAATGGGAAGGGGTGGGGCACTTGCACTCCTACGGCCCCATCCCCTGACATCCTCTCCCAACTGCGGCTATACGCCACTGTGTGGAAGAGATGTTGTTGGCTTTACCTGCCGGGGCCGTATCATAAGTCCAACGCCTCATAGGTCCGACGCCTCATAAGTCCGACGTACGCCTCATAAGTCCGACAATGGACAAACGCTGTTTTGGACTTACGAGGCGTCGGAACTATGAGGCGTCGGACTTATGTGGCGTCGGACCTCGCGGAATAAATATTTTGTATGCCTCACAAGTCCGACGACTCAAAATTAAGTCCGAAATTTCGGACTTATATGGCGTCGGACCTATGAGGCGTCGGACTTATGAGCGGACCCCTACACGTACAGCGGTTGTGTTGGTAATGTTTTTACAAAATCGAGAACAATGTCAACACAATATTATTTAGTCGTATTTACTTTTTATTCCCCTCCCCCCTTTTTTTTTTGGGGGGGGGCATTGTATTAACTCTCCCGATTATATGCAGTATGATCGACTTTGTGCGATTTTAATCCAATAATCCTCTCTTCTGATAACGATTGTACTGATTCTAAAAATAAAGCATTGTATTTATATATTGTGTAAACACGGTGTGTCGGATCAGTGGTATAATTTTTTTACTGCTCATTTTTTGAATTTGTTACATCCACTTGCACGAAGTGAAGAATTAGTAACATCATCTACATGCACATTTGGGGTGCGTTCGAGTATTACTCTTGCTACTCCCGAGTGCAGCCGCGTGCGCATGATTACTCTCGGTGCAGGAGTATAGAGCATACTCTTGCTAACTTGCGTGTCGTACTCCTGCTGGTCGTGCACTCAGGAGTTTGTCTTACATTCACTATGTGGACTTGTGAACAAACGACGTCCACATAATGCAGGTTGTGTTAGCGTTATTTCACATGTTGTTTGTATATTTATTTAAAATCGTTTGACGCTTGAATGGTTTCTATTGCAGTTTGTTCTAAATTGACCGGACTATACCTTTCAGCACGGACGATCTGTCGGCAAATGTTGTTATAGTCTCTCTCCCCCCCCCCCCTTCAGATTTGTCAAAGAGGCTCTATTGTCCTCCATACGCTACCTCTATGCTCAACGCGTCTACGTAGGCCTACCCCAATCAAAGTCCCGGACCTTGCCCGGCTAGCTAGCTACGTATGGAACGCCAAACGTACCAATTTATGATGTTACCGGGTAAACGTAATATTGTGATGTAGTCAATCTATTATGTGATGTAGTCAATCCATTATGTGATGTCGTCAATCCATTATGTGATGTCGTCAATCTATTATGTGATGTAGTCAATCTATTATGTGATGTAGTCAATGCATTATGTGATGTTGTCGATCCATTATGTGATGTAGTCAATCCATTATGTGATGTCGTCAATCCATTATGTGATGTCGTCAATATATTATTGTGATGTCATCAATGCATTATGTGATGTAGTCAATCCATTATGTGATGTAGTCAATCCATTATGTGATGTCGTCAATCTATTATGTGATGTCGTCAATGCATTATGTGATGTAGTCAATCCATTATGTGATGTAGTCAATCCATTATGTGATGTTGTCAGTCCATTATGTGATGTCGTCAATCCATTATGTGATGTAGTCAATCCATTATGTGATGTTGTCAGTCCATTATGTGATGTCGTCAATCCATTATGTGATGTAGTCAATCCATTATGTGATGTTGTCGATCCATTATGTGATGTAGTCAATCCATTATGTGATGTCATCAATCCATTATGTGATGTAGTCGATCCATTATGTGATGTCGTCAATCCATTATGTGATGTCGTCAATCCATTATGTGATGTAGTCAGTCCATTATGTGATGTCGTCAATCCATTATGTGATGTAGTCAATCCATTATGTGATGTAGTCAATCCATTATGTGATGTAGTCAATCCATTATGTGATGTAGTCAATCCATTATGTGATGTAGTCAGTCCATTATGTGATGTCGTCAAAACCATTCGGGAGTTACTGCGTAATGAATTGACAACACCGCATAATAGATTCACTACATCACATAATTCGGGAGCCAGGGTGACCGTTTTAGCTGAATGTCGGCTAAATTTGACAGAATTTTTCGGGCCAAAACGAGTGAAACAGAAAGTTAAGCAGATCGATTTCGTTAAGGAGCAAGCAGAATTTTGTAAAATTAGTAATTTGACGGGAAAATATGGCAGATTTGAAAATATAGCCGATTAGTTTTGAAAAAGCTTCAATTTGAAGCTGCTTGACTGCATACTTATGCCAGGATAGACAAGTGCAGTAAAAAAAAAATCAATTAATTTTTTTAAAGCAAATTTTATATTACTCTTGTTTAAGAAAATTATAAACTGCATGTGAGTATCAGTGTTTATAAATGAATATCGTTTAATAAGGCCACAAAAAGTCTCCGGTTTCTGGTATGGAGCTTGCCCAAAAAGTGGTGCGGCGACGCGGCTTTTATTTTTTCACTTTTTTTTTTGGCTTCAAATGTCGGCTGATGACTGCAAATGGTGCCCGACTAAACTTAGTGCAAATATTATGGGAGACCAGAGAGGCCACATAAAGCTTATTCTCGATCATAACCCCATCTAAAAACACGTTAAAATTGTGCAGCAGCAGGATTCCAGTCAAACCAGTGAGTTTGGCGGTTTTGAGACATCATCTTTCATTGAAAAAAAAACTTTTTCATTTTGCCGACGCGCATGGCTACGGCGACGCGCGCGCATACCAGAAACCGGAGACTTTTTTTTTTTGGCCTAATAGATGATTTAGCAGATTTTTGTTAAATCTAGCAGATTTTGAAAGTGCATCTAGCAGAATGCTGCCAGTACCTCACGGTCACCCTGGCAGGAACTATATAAAGGGATAGCTCACAGCGTACTGCATTGACCATGATGGGTATACTCACGTGGAAGCATGCAGGCGTGTGCTGCGTTAAAGTTGTGAACATGTGACTCTCGATATCAGACGTAATGTTATCCTAATTATCAGACACATATTACCATGAAGACAGTGTCTGTTTTGATGACACTTCGGTCATTGTTATTAATTATAATAATGGAACACAGAACATGTTTAAATTATCCCTCGAGCCCATTGACAAGTACCTAGCACATGTGTCACAGAAAAAAAAGCCAAATCGTGCCCAACAATATTGTTGGTAATTAACTTTTGTGTTGATCTTTTTTTTTTGGCTTAGGCAAACAATATTGGAGGCTTTGATTAAAGTTTTATTCGAAATTCATTAAAGACAAGAGCCTGGGTTAGGGATAATCAGTATATTAAACCAGGCCCCACTAAATTTCCAGGCGCTTTTTCTTTCTTTCTTTAATCTGAATAATATACTTCTATTTTTATGAAAGTTTCTAATCGAAAAGATAAATATGTATACAGAATGTATCTCAATTTGTTAATTGGTATTAAGAATGTTTCATAGCACGACAAGTTTATGACCAGTTACACGGTTAGCGGATTCATAGGTATACTAGTCAAGACAATCTGATATTTTAAAAGGCCTCAATACATACTACGACCACTAAGGTGGGACATAACCAGTTAATTACAGAAGTTGACATATTCAGCATTTTCAATTTGTCTTGTAGGATTACATGATCATAATCAAACATTTACTGATCTATAACCACACTACCTGTTAGTACTTTTCTTGTTCCACTAATTCGTAATCCCATCCCAATTTGCCACCCATCGATCATTCCTGATATAATTCGTTGTCTTTCGCGGCACATGAAAATTTTTAGTCTGTAATGATCTGTGCCGTTCTAAAGCGTATGTCCCCCCCCCCCTCATTCCCCCCTCTGATAGCTTGCAGGCAGTAAGGTTTAACCCCCTGACACACACAAATTATAACAATAATCACCTGGGTTTTTTTTTATAACCGCCTGTCCACAACAATTGGACATAAAAAAACCCTGACGGCCCTGACCTCCGACTCCCCTCCCCCCCCCCCGAAAAAAATGCCTGGATCCGCCATCCGCCCTTCTGCTCAGTTGTTTTGAGCATGTGAACCTAATTAGCCTGCCCTTGGATCTCTGTCTCCAACAGATAAACTGGTTCATATAAATCTATCAACAAGCTTAATCTCCTTCCACCATTGTTTTCTTAATTCCCTCTTCTTCTCAGTTACATAACAACTCACTGGATAATTTTTTCGCATGCCTGTCTCAAACAGCGATGCTATAGCTAGCACATCCTCAGCAAGGTCCATCTGGATCTGGTAAAACTATTAAAAATGCCCAACCACCCTAGGGCTCTCTTCATACATTTCCATGTACCTATATTCTCCATCGTACAGCAAGACGGCTCATTTTCTTGATGAAAACGAAATCATTCCAAAATTGAAGCATACCGGTGCATCATGAATTTATGATAAAGAAATTAACTACAGGGCTCCGAAAGCGCGTCTTCAAAGAGCGCCGACCGTATTTATTGCCGTATAATAAAACCTGACTAGACACGACATTTATATAATTTGACGTCGCCGATGATGACATTAATTTTAGCAAAATGTGCTTGGTACTTGTCATTGGGCTCAAGGGATAATTTAAACATGTTCTGTGTTCCATTATTATAATTAATAACAATGACCGAAGTGTCATAAAAACAGACAATGTCTTCATGGTAATATGTGTCTGATAATTAGGATAACATTACGTCTGATATCGAGAGTCACAATGTGCACAACTTTAACACAGCACACGCCTGCGTGCTTCCACGTCAGTATACCCATCATGGTCAATGCAGTACGCTGTGAGCTATCTCTTTATATAGTTCCTGCCAGGGTGACCGTAAGGTACTGGCAGCATTCTGCTAGATGCACTTTCAAAATCCGCTAGATTTAATAAAAATATGCCAAATCACCTATCATTACACGGAATTCATTATAAACACTTATGCTCACATGCAGTTTATAATTTCCTTTATAATTGATTTTTTTTTTACTGCACGTGTCTATCCTGGCATAAGTATTTTACAGTCAGGCAGCTTCAAATTGAAGCTTTTTCAAAAATAATCGGCTATATTTTCAAATCTGCCATATTTTTCCGTCAAATTACTAATTTAAAAAAATTCTGCTTGCTCCTTAAACGAAATCGATCTGCTAGACTTTCTGTTTCACTCGTTTTTTTGTCCCGAAAAATTCTGTCAAATTTAGCCGAAATTCAGCTAAAACGGTCACCCTGGCTCCCGAATTATGTGATGTAGTGAATCTATTATGCGGTGTTGTCAATCCATTACGCAGTAACTCCCGAATGGTTTTGACGACATCACATAATGGACTGACTACATCACATAATGGATTGACTACATCACATAATGGATTGACTACATCACATAATGGATTGACTACATCACATAATGGATTGACTACATCACATAATGGATTGACTACATCACATAATGGATTGACTACATCACATAATGGATTGACTACATCACATAATGGATTGACGACATCACATAATGGACTGACTACATCACATAATGGATTGACGACATCACATAATGGATTGACGACATCACATAATGGATTGACTACATCACATAATGAATTGACTATTACATAATGGATTGACGACATCACATAATGGATTGACGACATCACATAATGGATTGACGACATCACATAATGGATTGACTACATCACATAATGAATTGACGGCATCACATAATGGATTGACCACATCACATAATGGATTGACGACATCACATAATGGATTGACTACATCACATAATGAATTGACTACATCACATAATGGAGTGATTACATCACATAATGGATTGACGACATCACATAATGAATTGACTACATCACATAATGAATTGACTACATCACATAATGCATTGACGACATCATCAAATTACGTTTACCCGGTAACATCATAAATTGGTACGTTTGGCGTTCCATAGCTACGCGGCTTTTGTGTTGCATAAGGTCATATTATGTAAACAGTATATGGAGATCTGACACGGTTTCGATATCCGGGTTTTACACCATGGTTTTTACTATACCAGTTCTTCAGTCGGTGCATGATTGCTAGGGCATCATGTACGATGTGTGCATCGTCGGGGCGGGCATGTGGGGGTCTACTGCAGCCCGCCACGCCTCTCAACTTGCCGGGCTGAAAGTTTGTGTCGTTGGTCCCGAGGAACCCACAAAGGAGGTTAGTGGAATGGTGGAATTCGTCGTCGGTGTTCAAGGCGAGAGACTTACGTTTTGCATTCTGTACAGTTATACCATGCATGGTTGATTTCCTTGTATATTGTATACAAGCTGGTTTACCCGATCATAGATCGGGTAGGGCGTAGTGTTGGGGATGAAAATGTGGGGAGTTAAATGTAAATGGGGGATATAGTTGGTGAGACATGCAGTTAAAGAATAGCAATTTCTGTGGTGTGATCTGAGGCAATTTCTAATCACTAAAACCAATTTGAGCAAAAGATAATCTGTGAAAGTTTTGAGTTTGGAGTAATTGAATCAGCTACATGTATTCTGAGCAATAGAATCATTATCGTAGGCTACAATATTTTTATTCGGGGAAGAAAAAGTGTGGGGGGGGGGGGGGGAGACCAAACAATGTCCCCCCTCAAAATGTGTGTGTGTGTGGGTGGGGGGGGGGGGGGGGGTTCCCCTGTCCCCCGTCGATTTACGCACATGATAATTATGTACCATATGGCAACTGTCTGTAAATGTTGCCGTTGGTCTGTTAAATTGGCTTTTTGTGAGGCAGTCGCATTTGGAAAACGTAGTGAAAAGGTTACTGTAGTACACAGGCGAAGGCTGGTTGTACAGTTTGACAATAAATCATAATGCAAGAAAACGTGAAGGTGTCATTTAAAATGAAAATGTTGAGTGTTACCCAAAAATTACAAACGGTCTGAATCATGGAGGAATGTCATAATTAAGTTTCAGTATTGGACTCTTCAACAGACGTAAACTTGAACTTCTTACAATTTGCGAGACCGTCTGCGATTCAACTTTTATTCAAGTTGGTGCAACCATCTAAATTATATAAGAGCAAGTTTTACTCGGCCTCCGAGAAATGTTTGCTTCTGAAAGGATCCGAGACCGCGGCGATCCTTCGTTGACCCAAAACAGGCCCCCGAAATTATAACACGACACTGAATTATACCATGAAGGAATTCTTATACATGGCGGGCAGCGAACTCACAACGCTCAGCCTTGGTGGTGGAAGCATGGAGCTGTAAACACATTATGGAAGCAACAGCACTCTACACGTCACATGCTTGCGCTTCAAATAGCGAGCACCGTAGACCCAACCTCGTTTCCAGGGTGTGGAGCAGGCTGCAGTACGCGTTGCCATCGACAGTTTTGCATAGCCCGGAAATACTACGCAGTGTAGACTTTCGATTGGTCAGACCGCGCAAGGCATACTTAATGTGTAGTCCTTCTGAGTATTCGTTGCACTCGGCGCAGGGGCGGCAAGCGAAGCATATGAAAGAATAGGGGCACTTGGTGGCCACGCACCATGGAGAAAAAATATTTTACCAAGGTCACCCCATCCACAATTTGGTGAACGCTTTTGCAGAAGGGCCGAGTAGAACACGTAAACGAAACCCCTACGTTGACCTCGCTGACCTCGCACAGTCTAGACACGCAGAAAAGCCAGCACGGGGGGCGGCCAGGCAGTCAACGTGAAAGCGCACACGACGGCAAATTCCTGTGCAAAATTCAGTCACGAAAAATCGACGAAACGGATCGCCAGTCCGTACGGGAAAATTAGGACGACCCGAAGCGTCCGACCCGGCGGAAGACACCCTCCGCATTTTTCCACGGACGTGGAGCGATTTTGGGGCCGCGGGAGCCCGCGGTCTCGGATCCTTTCATGAGCAAACATCGTCTCGGGGGCGAGTAAACTTCTCTCTTATATATATAGATTAAATAGGGACTTGTTGTTATTCCTCCAATGGTCACAGAAAGCAATTTTCTAGCAGTATATTTTGCTTAGCTTCCGAATTGTCTTTGAAGTTGTCGGTAACTTGGGTGTTCACAACTATATTGTGTTGGGCTATTCTGCAATTGTACCGATCGGCAACGGCACTGATGAGAATGTCCATACATCTGAAGCGACACGACTTAAACAGCGATTGACATGCATAATGTTGAGCATACCGCCTCCATGACCACATTCGAGGGTTTTGTTTTTGAATTCGTGTAACACGATATTAAGTTAGTTAATTAACCCATTCATTTGATTGTTATATACAGCTGAGCAGCCATATCGTTTTGCCTGCTGACAAGCCATAGACATCTATACGTATAGCGGCCACAGTGGCACTGTTCAGTAATCCGTGATAAATTGCGTAAAATTATGCATGAGTCAGGAATCCTTATCATAATGAGGCCTTGTATAAACAAGGCTAGTGTGTCAAAGGTAAAACAATGTATTCGTTCTGCAGGACAACATCCGATCCAACTTCGCCAGATATGGGAGTACGATGTGCAAACATAGTTCACACAAACCTCGTACATCACCGCTAGATTTACTTTAAAGTGCAAAAGGTGGACAGCTATAGTGCAGTCACTGTGTAGACTTCTGAACAACAGATGTCCACACAGTGCAGCTTTGATTGTGAGACGTTGTGTGGACCTGCCCAGCTCACACAAGGGTTCCCCCTCTCTGAAACAGTTTTAGAGGCATTTTGGGGGTTGGGGTTGACCGTCGCAAAATGAAGATGAACACTGGAATCATGATCCAAACTTTGAGTTAAAAGAGTGCGTGTTCATAGTGCAAGTAGGCCCTACTGAGGTTATTTTTGTCCGGGACTTTTCTTAATTACACAAAGACAATGGAATAGTCACGCTAGGTATGTAAGGTAGGCCTATGTGTGCCTGTGGGTTAGGTTACCCTATACGACTGAGGACTTATGACAATGGGGGATTTGCAATAATAATGACCCCGAGGACCTGAGCCGAGTCCTCGTGAGAACTTCGTGTACAAACCTTATGGGAGCTGTCGAGAAGTAGCACATACAAAGGGCACACAAGAAGGGAACAATAGCGGGTCCTCTTGAGTATAGCTGGACACGACTGCATGTGTGCGTGGGTTTGTTTTTGCATTCAATAGGGGACGTTTAACAATCGAGGACACTAGGGTCCACAATTCCCGAAGGTGATTGACGATCGTGTAAAACCATATGGGAGGTCTTCCTAGAAAGTTAGTAGTACAAACAAAATAGAGACAAAACTAGGGGTCCACACAAGAAGGTGTTCCCACACTTGCGTGTGTGCGAGGGAAAACACAACGCATTGTCCTTGGGCCTATAGACATTCACGACTGGGTGTGTTTACGAGTTGATCGTTTAAGAGTTGATCGACAGGCGGCAAAGCCGCCCCCCTACCCCCCCCCCCTTCCCACTGCGTAGCCGGCAAGGCGAAGCCTCGTCTATACATATAAAAAAAAGGAGACTCATGAGCGTCAATATCGGATGGGGTGGGATGAGGGAAGACAGGTCCTCTTATATTATTGCCTATGGTGATGACCTCTCTAAATAATATTTTTCCAGTCTTTCATTTTCCCGTCGACTATTCTGTCGACGTGTCGTCGGCATTATATTGCCCCACCACTTGCTCTTATGCGACTTATCATGTGTCTATTATAGCATAGAGCAAGGACACATGAATAGTAAGTACAGTTGCGAAGGTGCTCAATTTTGTGTTAATATATTTGTATTCAAATTCTCACTGCTTGGATTTTGGCAGGAGTTTGCAGACCGGGAGGTGTTTGGCGCGCATTACGACGCAGGGCGCATCTACTCCACGGTGCATGGTAGCAATCACGTGGGTCGCATACGGGGTCTGGTCAGCCAACGCTCCGTGGAGCGATACCCAGAATTAGAAGAGCTATCAGGTGAGCAAAGAGTTACTTACTGATCAACTTTTATGAAGATGGTGTCAGATTGTCGTTCATCCTACCCAGTCATATTTATATTTGTAGTTTTATTCATGTGGTCTTCGAGTCCACATCTTACTCAACTTGAGAGTCAGGTTAATGCAGTGATATTTCCTTTGACTTTCACCACCCATGGCGGATCCAGGTTTTACTCAAAAACGGGGAGGGTTTATAGCTGTCCTGGGGTGCATGTGCTATTTTCCTGCACAATTTCCTATTTTATAGCCAAAGGTGGGAAGGGGGGGGGGGACTTGACACACTAACCCCTTCACATCCGCCACTGTCCCCTCTGTGACTCGCGTTCTAATCCGTTCAGTTCAACCACCTAAAACCAAACAGTTTCTTTATTTTATGATTCTCACCACAGGTTTCTTCACATCTCGAATAGGGGACCATGAATGAGACATTTTTAATAGGAATTCTTAGTTATTTTAAAAGAATAATGCGATCATTATTTTAATCATATTATTCAATATTGTATCTTTAATTTTGTAGGGGTCAAGTTTTACAAGGAAGTCGGGTTTATATTCTTTGGTGGAGTTGACGCTTTTTATGACACGCTGGACAGTTTTTCAGAAGGCGTGTCGCTTGAAACGGCAGCCAGTGTGCGAAGCCGTTACCCGTACATTGACACTGGGAAGGACGGACCGACCGCCATCTTGTCCAAGCGCAGCGCCGGCTACCTCGACGCGCGCAAGTACGTGCAAGCACAGCTATTGGTTGCTCGTCGCCAGGGCTGTGATGTCATGAATGACGTTGTCGTCCACGTGGCGCAGGTCAACCAATCGGGTAGCATGCTGGTGGAGACGGACTCCGGGAGGCATATCACGGCGAGGAAAGTCCTGCTGTGCACGGGCGCCTTTACACCGTTCATGGATCTCCTGCCCGCTGACCGCAAGCTGGACGTTACGGTCACGTCCGATGTGACGGTGCGATTTGAGCTGGACGAGGAGTGCGTGCGGAGGTTGCAAGACATGCCGTGTCTTACGTCCGAATTCAGCGAGCCTTCACCAAGGGAGTGTTACATTCTGCCACCAATTACGTATCCCGATGGTAAGTAATGAACCTATTATGCATGGTCCAGGCCTGGGCGGATCTATGTGTGGATCAAGAAGGGGGGGGGTCTAAGCTACAAAGGTGGAGGTTTATCAGGCAGTTGAGTTTCAAATTTGTTTTGCGGCCCAATAGGAAGATTTATACTCTCTAACCCCCTGTAGATCCACGCCTGTTGTCAGTGGAGGAACTGACACCCCAAGACTTGAGGCTCCGGATCCCCATTGTTTACCGCTCCTTGTCCTGTTATTTCCCAAGATCGTACGGGGAGTCTCTGCACAGATAAACGCTGCAAGAGTCGACTCATTTTAGACGTTTATATAAACAAGTGCGTGGGTCATAGCAAAAGTATTGCAAGTCTACTCTTCAGCGTTATCTGTCCATCTCTTTTTCTTTCCGCCCCGTCTTCATTTCGCCTGAACTGTTCCTTGAAGAATGGTCTCCGGAATGTAAACGGATAACAAAAGGAATTTAAAAAACGGCCGGTTTTAATACGGAAGTGAAAGAAAAGACCATAGAGTTTAATAGTTAATTTTAGTACATGTAGTTGGGTTTCATTGTGGCAGCCTATCATTCACTGGCATCAGATTTAGTAATAGAGATACCTATGCAACATACACCATTGTGCCCAACAATCTCTTGTTTCCATGATGTCCACACTTGCAGGCAAGGTATACGTCAAGATAGGTCACGGGCGGTACGTAGACACTACACTGCACACCCACGAGGAGGTGCGACGATGGTACATCGACGAGGCCGACCCCAAGACCATAGACACGCTCAAGGATATCTTCCATAGCGTGGTACAAGGTAAAACACTGGGCGCCTTAATCCGCGTTCACATGCGACTCATTTTTGTAAAAATTACCGCGAGTATTTGGTATTCAACGTTCAACTGTGGATATTCTACGGCCACACTTGGATTAATTTCGGCCAGCGAAAAGTCATTGACAGCGCTATGCCCATGAAATTCCGAGCATACCTCAAACGCATGCATTAGCTTGAATACAGCACGCGTTAGGTGTACTCGGAATGTCCTGGGTAGCGTTGCCAATATTGCCAAGACTGGGTTTGATTCATCATGTTGATAGCGACCTCACTTGTCACGGACCTCGGACCGGCTGTAAAAGGGGAAGAAAATCGAAGTGCAGTCTTTGACCTAGACTACTATGTCATTATTTGAAATCCTATAAAACCCGGTTCCTGCTACCTTTTATGGACTCTCAGTCTCACATGCCATCAGTGAGTTCTCATACTTGTGTTCGTCAAGCTGTGCACGATATAGGAACCGGCATGCCCGAGTGGTGTGAAATTTGGACTCAGCACCGCGTCGTTAGCTGTCGGACCTATCACGTAGGCAAGGGGTCAACTTAAGTTAAGTGTCCACAATGCGTGATGACCTCACTATAGTAACTTACGACCACTTTCAACTCATTTACCACTCGAACTCCGTCTATTAAACTGGCACATTCAGAGCACGTACAGTGAAAGTTCTGCAGCTGGACTTCCAAGTTTATCAAAAAACAGTCGAATTCTGTTTCCTTGAGGTGTAATGTTTCACCCAATAATTGGCAAGTTAACATTAATGTGTATTAAACAAAATGTTACATCTTGTTTCGTTTCCTTTTTCTTTTACAAAAGGAGTGAAACCACTGTCCGAGGTGTATTACACGTGTGCGGATTTGGACACGGCCACGGAGCTCCCCTACTGCGACATGGTATCGCCCAGCCTCGGGGTCCTGGTTGGTGGAAACAGCCAGGGAGCGACCATGGCCGAGGAAATGGGGAGGATGGGAGCCGACATGATCACGGGGGAGACGAATTGGAACCGTGATATCCCTAAAGAAGTCTTTAAAGCCAGATATATTAATGCATAATTACTCTGCTAAAATTTGGGCACTTGTTGTCTATGAATCTGTCAATTTTTATTCAAGGTAAACGCAATATTAATTGAAGCAAGTCTAAAAGGGCGAATTTTTAAGTTGGATTTCAAGTGATAGAAGTAGAACAATTCCATCGTTATAAAAGGAAGTGTAGGCTATAATGCCCAAGACAGAGCCAATTAACCATGATATCTAATTAATGATTTAAATAGAAATGATCCAAAACTCCTAGTCTGCAATTTCCTCTACAACTACTAGATGGTGGATGTATAAGATTAAAAAAATCAGGTCATTCATTGAACTTTTAAAAGCTATTTCGCCGACATTACATATACGCTGGAATTGCCAATTACAAGAAGTACTAAGGAATATTAATATTGATTAGAATGTAAAATTTTATTTAATAACAAAAATAAAAAGAAGTTTATTTGTTGAAAAATTAACCATCGTGCACTTTAATAATCAGTATATGAATCAATATTTTATTTGTATTTTGTCAGTAAAATTAAACAAAGATGCTATTATACAACATGAGTCGTTTCCGTGATCCAGTGGACGAAAAGTCATAGGAAACAACGTTTTACAAAAATGTATATGTTTCCGTCATTCATTGAAGCAAGATATTTGAACACCCCCCCATGGGCGTCGCGAGGGGGGGGGGGGGGGCCAAGGGGGGCACTCCCACCCCCCCTGGAAATGCCCCCCCCCCCCCAAAAAAAAAAGGGCGCGAAGTCATAGTGGTGTAAATTTAATGAGTTGGGGGGGGGCCAAATGTCCCTGCCCCCTTTAAAACTGATAAATCGAGAATGTGTTGAGAAATACATGCATTTTTTGGCAAAAATATGTTTTGCCCCCCTCTAGAAAAAAATCCTGGCGACGCCCATGCCCCCCCCCCCCCCCTCATTGCGTTGGTCTTTGTGTTCCCGGAATCTCGGGAATTATTTGAGGTATCTAGGGAATGTGCTGTACTTGTCTCGAGTGTGTATAGGGATGTTACACCCCAACTGTGGCATCTGTGCCAACTATGGTTCATACATAGTTGGCTACTCCAACTATAGTTTGGCTATTGTTATACATGCCCAACTGTATGGTCAAACTATAGTTAGGACTATACCCAACTGTGGATGAGCCTTAGCTGGCGCAGTGGCACAGTTGGGGTGTAACACAGACATTGGAGGCCCCCTCTCAAATCGTGCGCGGTTTACCATCATCGGGATAGTGCATGCCCCGTCGGACCTCATAATGGGCTTCGATGGCTGGACTCGTCTTAGCCAGGAGGTTTGGACGAGGGCTACCTCACAGGAGACACGCAATTAAGAACATTCCGTCCAGGTTCCGGTGGGTAGATTGGGCGATTCACTTGCACTGGCGAGGACAAGTGTTGTGGGCCGGACGTGGACCCAGATGACGGTATTGGAAGTGGAGTCTACAATCGCATCAATCATGGATGGACCGAATACCGTACGCTCTTGGAATGATCCGTTCATAGCTCTGTGCATCGTTCGGGTTGAAGTCGGTGTTTTCTGAGAGTGACCCGTACTGATTGTTGGCTGAATTGGAGACTAGACTTCGATGGTTTAAAGTCGGACAAGGTAAGTAACTTGCTTTGTTCACGTATTATTTTTGTCCTGCCAATTACAGTCCCATACAACACTAACTTACCCAGCCTATCCATGTACATGTACAATGTTGATTTCAGAAAGGGGCCATAGTTATTTGAGGAGAAGTGGATCTATACCTTTGTGTAAATTTTCGTTATTGCTCCCTCTGTTGAATATATTACGCGGGGAACGTGTGAGCATGCATTTGCATCATTCCGATCCCCCGGATAACGGAAAGGTTCCTGGTCTGTAATCAAATGTGGTACTCTAGGTTGGAAGGGAAAGTACTAAACGCCCGGTTATGCACCAAAGGATCGATACGAATTACTGTTATTCGAAGTAAGACGTACAGACGAGACTTATTGTTTTAGTATATCTTTGGATTTCTAGTCTTTGTATTTTGGTCAAAAATGATCTACTGACTGAGCACAATGTTATGTGGTCAGCTTTTAGGAAATTTCATTCCAGGAATTACAGCGCCAAAATTTGCACGTGAAGAAAGTTCGCGAGAGGGCGCCGTTACAGTCGGCAATAAAATGGCACTTTCTAATAGTTATGCCGTGGTGGTAAAGCAAAATTAAACGCAGCGGGCGCCGTCGTATCGAAAACCATTTGTCGAAACTTGAATGGATAACAAAATTAATGTAGTCCATTCGACCTAATAACTCAAATTCATGAAAAAGAAGATAGATTGATCTCTCTCGGTACAATCGACAAACCATTAACACGTACTGCACTCGCGACAACGTATTTCCACAATTAAATTAGACGTGTTGAATTTTATTTTGGAGGTGCAAAAAATATCCTCTCTGACACATCTGAAAGAAATAGGAGTGGTGCATTAAGTACACGTTTGTAATTAATTTACGTTTCATTTGTGCGAGTCATGATCGATAATTGAAAGGGAAGATGTAATTACGAGTAGCGCTTTACTTTGAATACAATTATTGTATAATAAACTCGGTTTTGTCACAACTTGTGAAGACTTGTCAAGATGGGAAAAGCTAGTCAACATACACATAGTTCATCCCACACAGTGTACAGAAATGACTAGTACTTTAAGAACTAAGTAGAAAAGGCATAATACTGAGCAAGAATTATAGTTGCGCGTGCTACTTTAGAAGTAAAGTCCAAAATGAAATCGCAAACAAAACATGATAAACAATCGCTTCTTGTTGTGATTGGCTAAAATGATTCATTTTCATGAGGATAAAATTGATTCCTATAAGAGTTCAGAAATATTTAAGACCACTTGTCTACAATGCCTGAATCAACTAAAAAATCTGCTGCATCTGCTACTCAACTATTAATAATATTTTTTTTAACGAATTTTAGAATAAATCAAGATATAGATCCTCATATACATAGGTTTCTATCCGTCAAGAACATAATAGAGAGGCGATTGTTTTTTATATTTACGGCGGCATGTCATTGGGAACTAGCATCGGTCATGCACGGTTGGCTTTGGAATATTAGACTGGCACCTGGAGAAGCAGGTTGGGTGTGCCATGGAGTTCTCCTTTGATCTTGTTCTGGGCTGCCGTTTGGGTCAGCAGCAGCTCTCCCTCTGGGTAGCCGATGTGGCGCCCTTCCTTTTCCATCAGGAGTGCCAGCGTACCTGTTTTGTGGGAAGAATCTTTGTTTTACTCATCGTTTTTAGAACATGTCACATGGCTGATGAAAGAAGTCTTAGTCAATTCTGTATGCATATTTTCAGATTTATGGATGAAAAACTGTAAACTTTAAAGCTTTAACCAGTTATTAAATAATGCTTGTAAAAACGATCCTTTTGTTTGGACGTGACTCCAGATGGCCTGTAAACAACCCAGTTTGTCTCCATAATTATTATTTCGTAATCAAAAATGATTGATGAGAGAAAATCACGTGTGATGGTCTGGTATCTTTTTTCTGGTATGACCATGTGGGGTCCATGTTAATTAGGCAAATGGAATATATCGTGATTTGTTTTTTATGACACTTGCACATTGTACTTTTAGGTGCGATTGTGTAGGAGCCAACACATGCAGATGAAGTCATAGTGTTGCAAGATCTCGTAATAGTGTTCATTCGTTTTGAACGTACGCAAGACGGGCATTTACGTTTCAGCCAATGGAGAGCTTTGCTTGCCACGCTCCACCCACAGTTACCGCCCACCGTGACCGTCCACAGCCTTACTTTTATTATTCAAATTGTTTGCTGCATGCAAGAGGATTCCAACTCGTTGAGCGGTACAAAAATCTAAATAACAAAAGAGGATCTCTTACAAAGAAAGCTGTCTGACACAATACCTGCCGAATCTCTCTATCGAAGCAATTTTACAAGTACATGTACATTGTACATGATGTGTTTTGAACAAAATCTAGTCGGTAAAGCAAATAGAATTACGCACGTAATTAGTTTAGTGCAGGTATATGAATTCAAACTGCAGGGAGTCCTCTCAGCATTTAAGCCTACTGTACATACTGCCTTTAGTCATGGATCCCGTGGCCACAATCATGTTCCTTTCTATGTTATTACTTTCTGTTATTGATAAGTGTACCCCCTGTTGATTTTTTTCTCGACGAAGAGCTGGCTTTTCTTTGGAATTATTTCAACACTCTGTTTATGGGTTTTCTCTGCACGGGCATATTTTGTTTGCCTGCACCTTTTTACCAAGATTGCGCTACAATAGAAACTATTCTGAAGGCTTACGTAGGGGTACAGCATACAGTCAGTATTCAGATTAACAATACACTTGGAATGTAAGGAAAGAAAAAGGCTAAGGCAGAGTACGAGCGCTATACATGTAGACACCATTATAAAGGCTTACGTAGGGTACAGTCAGTATTCAGATTAACAATACACATGAAACGCAAGGAAAGAATAAGGCTAAGGCAGGGTACGAGCGCTACAATAGACACTATTATAAGGGCTTACGTAGGGTACAGTCAGTATTCAGATTTACAATACACTTGGCACGTAAGGAAAGAATAAGGCTAAGGCAGGGTACGAGCGCTACAATGGAAACTATGTAGGATTAAAAAGGCTTATACGTAGGGAACAGTCAGTATTCAGATTAACAATACACTCGGCACGCAAGGAAATAATAAGGCTAAGGCAGGGTACGAGCGCTATACTTAGAACAACAATAAAAACGGTACATAGGATTATAAATGTTACGCAGGGTACAGTCAGTATTCAGATTAACAAGACATATACATTTGTATGCCTGTTAAAGCTAAAGACCACGTACCGTTGGGTACTGTCACTCTGAAAGCAAGACGAAAGTGAGGCACGAAATGGGGGACGTTCGACAAATGTGCCCGTGTGAATATCAATGATGAGGAGAGGGCACCTGTTTTAAATGCATATCGCCATAAGTTTATAAACAAAGAAGAGGTTTATGGAGTAAATCATTAGTTTATAGAGTAAATCACAAATGTTTAACGACGCTGAAAAAAAGTTTGGCTCATTACGTTTAAAATTAACCTTAACTGAATCTCCAATAAAAAGAAATATTTGTATGTACCGTATTTTTATCATATTCTTTTCATAACTAAAAACGAATAAAACTGCTGCAAACTGTTTAAAGAGTGCATTGACCTGAAACTACAATAAAAAAACTAAGCTGACCCATGTTTCGGCAAGTCCTTCAAATTTTTATTTATAATTATTTATTTATAATACATGTGATATAATCGATAACAAGTCTTTTATTTTGTTAATTTCAGTTTTTATTTATCGGAGATTATACGATAGAGCTTCAAAGAAACAGAGATTTGTTTGTATTTACTTTTATTCGACAAACTTTGTCGAAAGATTTCAACATGAGTTTGAGTTGTACGTGCACTATAGTATCCTATACACGTATACACGTACATGTACAACATTTCCAGTGCTTTTCTTCATCACGTCATATGTCGCCTATAGGTACAGCACTATACAACTCCACTTTATGGTTCCCGATCCTGCCACTTAGAATGTTCTTTTGTTATGCTGAAATTTGTACCGCTCAACGACTTGGAATCCTCTTGCATTGTTATCATGATTAATAGAAGCAGCGAACAATTTGAATAATAAAAGTAAGGCGGTGGACGGTCACGGTGGGCGGTAACTGTGGGTGGAGCGTGGCAAGCAAAGCTTTTCATTGGCTGAGACGTAAATGCCCGTCCTGCGTACGTTCAAAACGAATGAACACTGTTTAGACCTAAAACCTGAACCTTAACCCTACACCGACAACCCAAGCTTTTGCATGGTCTGGTATCTTTTTATTGTTTTTTACCTGCATACCATACAAACTTGACGAACTTCACTGGGCAATGCGAGACCTGAATAGCGACTGCACTGAATTGGCTGATTTCGATGGTGCTCAATTGCTATCGGAGGACCCGTTTGGCATTCCTGGGAGTGTGTGGCTCTTCAACCTTTGTAGTAATTTTCATGTAATAGACATTGGGCAAATGCACGGCAAGAGGCCATTCTTTGTAATGAGGGCGATGTTACGTGCATACCAATTCGGGGTAGAAGCAGACATTTCCAGGATTATTTACGTAGGGGCTAGGTTAATGCATGTTAGTACGATTTAATAATTATATTTTCATATAATTATTGTTTCAATAAGCGTGATATTTTTAATAATTGTACCAAGAAAATGACGTCATCACAGTGCCCCCAATTTATAACTTATGGCTGATTGAAGTGTTTTGAAGGGTCTAGTAAAGCAATGTTTTGATGACTATGCATACCGGCGACGTGTGGACATGCCTGGGAGGTTCCCGTGCGAACGTCAGTCTTGCTGCCGTCCCGTACGCCGATACTGATGATCCCTACCCCGGGAGCAAACAGGTCCACACAAGACCCGAAGTTGGTCTTGGTGTAAGGGTAGTCCGATCCAGATGTGGCTCCTACGGTAATGACCTAGGTAACGGACCAAATGTCAAGGATTTTTATCCGAATTTTCGAAGACAAACTCATCGTGCCATTTCTTGACCCATGGTATGCCTAAATTAACCAACCAGCAGCATAGTCAAGCTTGTCCGGAAGTTTCAAGTGAAAGTCAGTGAGCGAGATAGGTAACCAGTCTAAGGCCGTGTCCGAAACGGGCTTCCAGAGCTACGGCTACGTCTATTGTCAGCGCGTCCCCGCGTATTTTCAATGGGCGCAGACCTAGACCTAGCTCTAGACAACTGATTCGGATGCAGCATAAATTATAAGTCACAAGTTAGTCAGTTAGTAGTCTGGCTCCCTGTCCCCATTGTCCTTTGGACTTCAAATATGGGGACAGGTAGCTAGCGGTGAATCTTGCTTACATCAGGAGGCATCCCTCCTGATGTAGCCTACGGCATGACGTGTACAGGTCTGAATCCCGCCTCCTGAACTAAAAATCACATGATGGTAACGTTTGCCCGAACCAGCCTATTGCAAAAATGACAATAGCCTCGCCGCGAATATACAATTTCGGATGTGATGAGCTTCGATTTTTGCTGAATTCGAAAGTGTCTCTGTCAAACATTAATAAAGAGAGAGAAATGACTGTTCAGTATTTAAAACATATTGCAGTTGAAATGCTTGAAAGTTACCTTCATGGCGACACTGATTTGGCGTACTTTTTGTATTAAGACAAGAGTGACGTTTTTAAGCGTGTGTTGAATTTGAAAATAAACAACCATGATGCGCGCGCAGAGGTAATCCAATCAATGGCATTTAAATGGGTGCTAGCTATCGGTCCCCATATTTTTAGGGGGGGGGGCGCGAAACAGTCTAGTCAGTTAGATGGCAACCTCGTCCCCGTGGCTTACTTTATTTTCAACCTCGTTTCCCATAGTACGCCCTGGATGGGAAACTTTCTTCCTGTATCCTGATTCGATAAAAATCTTGTTTTCGTAACTAACGCCGCGAACGAATTGATTCTGCTTTTACTCCAGACACGGCATAAAAAAACAAAAGCTAACGTAAAGCACAGACAGGCACCATACTATTCCTAAAAAAATTGGATATCCAAATGATCTAATACAGTGTGAGAGAGCAGCGGGAGCGTACTGCACGACACCATGGGAACGATGTTGGTTAGTACCAAGAGGGCACCAATCCGGTTTCCATTTGGGATCTGCATACATTGAAATTAATAAAACTATTAAAACGCAATGTAACAAATTTATCTGCCTTTATGCTTTGTTCACGTAAGTCGTTTGTTCTTCGTCTGTAGCACAACTGCTTGTCGGTTCTCATTTGTACAGTGTATTAGCAAAATTCTAATAAACAACAATAGCTTAAAGGGTTACCATCACAAACTGTTATCGTTGGCCCTACCTCTTTGGCCCCAGACGGAGAGTTGTTGCAGGCGTCCTCTGGCCTGTTCCCGGCAGAAGTCACGAAGTTGACGTCGGTGGTTCGTATGAAGGAGGCCACGAAGTCATTGAACGAGTGGGGGAAGTTACCCATGGACATGGAGACCACCGCAGGCTTGACCATCTTCTCCGCCAAGCAGTCCAGCACTAGAAGATGAGGAAAAATCAGCAATAGACAACTACTGTTGCTTCCAAGTTATTGTTTTTGTACCTCTGTTCAAAGAGAGAGCAACTCTTAGGATAAAAATGTTCCTCTTTGGAGAATGTTAGGGTTGCGCGGGAGTGCTTTCCTGTTTCGAATCCTCATTGACCCGAGAGGGGGGGGGGCTTGAGGCCCCAAAGAGGTTGTACATTTTGGGGGTTTTGGGGTAAATTTTTTTTTAGTCCCACGATTTGACCGTGGTGACATGTATGTGGCCTATTTTCGAGTATTATAATAGGGGTGTAAAATGGCGCCACCAACGTCAAAATAATCCGCCCCCCCCCCCGAATGCTCTGCTGCCAAAAATTGTGGGCAACAGTTTTTGAAAAACATTCAAACTTCTAAAACAATTTGGAAAAAAAAATTGTGAGCCCCCACCCTCCCCAAGCCAAATTCTGGGTGCGCCACTGACCCAAGTTCGATCCCCTGCCCATGCGGACAGGTGCACTGGTTTCCGTTTGGAGCCCAAAGACACTGATTCCTCATTTCAGCTGCTCAAAGTCCAAGGTGGTGGCAAGTTGGTGAATGTAGGCCTATAATTATGCCGTCACACCAATGTGGACTATACTTACTGACAGACACCGAGGTTACGGTGGTGGACTGCAGGAGGTGAAGTTGCGCCCTCTTGGCCACTCCGAAGGTGTTGCTGCCAATGATGCCCGCTACATGGGTGCCATGGCCGCCATTGTAAGGATCGATACCCTGGCATTTGAGAAACAATGGGTTGGAATACGGTATTCCCTCTGTTAAATTCTCAGTCAACACCTTTTGCAGAGAATGTGTGTGAAAATGTTAAAGATTTAGGGCATTCTGAACTGGACCACCACGAAACTATCCTTCCTTGGTTGGGGGCACTCCCACTATTGTAGGCTACCACATCAACGTCCTTAATGGACCTTAGTCACGAGGTAGCCATTTTTGTCGTGTTCCCTGAATGTATTTCATCAATTGTTAACTGTTGAATGGGATGGCGCCAGACTATTTATGCAGCATTATTTTACTTTCATTTTTTTTTTAATCTGGCTTAAAACATTAGGGAATGCTTAATTACAAATTTTAAATTATTCATTCAAGCAGACTTGAATTATTTAGTAATGTATTTGCTTTCAATTCTCTTCGCAAGTTTCAAATAAGAAGATTTTACCTTACTTTCAATTCAACATGGCCGACTCGTAAATAAGGCCTTTTGATGATAAACTTTGGACACGATACCTGTCCTTTGCAGCATGATTCGAGCATTTGCACGACTGTTTTGTAAGTGACAATAGGCATTAGAATACTCGAAAACTCCCGGGATCTTGCGTACAGACTTGCACAAATTATACAACACCATTTTCAGCAAAGCGCGTCGCCATTTTACTTTGGTCTCTTGTTGTCGATAAAATTGTCAATTGATCTCTTTAACATTCAAATAAGAGAGTATATGTACCATGCTACACACTTCATCCTGAAAATAAGACAAATTTCATAAATTGTGAATTTCAAGAACAAGGGTGACTTCAAATTTTAACTGTGATTATGGATACATTTTGTAGGTTCTCTGGTGTTCAAAGTCATTGGAACTCCGCCACTAATAGTGTCGACGTAGCGTGTATCATCACTTTAATTTATGAAGGGAGGGGCACAAGGAGTACTTCAGCTTCATGCTTACGTCTCCGGCGCTGCATTCGTGCATGCTGGCCCGCCCACCAAACTCAGGGTCATCCACGACAAAGCCGTTATCAATCACGTAGATGTTAACTCCTTGACCAGTGTCTAAAATAGATTTAAAAAAAAACCCACAAAATACCATTCCATTCTAAGCATTATCATACAATTTTGTTTTACCATTTTGTTAGCATTTCCTTTCTTCCTTTTTTAACTGTGTGGGAGCGGTGTTGTGATGTTTCATTATGATTTTCTCAAGGTATTTTGGAGAAGAAAAAAAGTATTCGAAGAAGCTCAGTATTTGTATAAGAGTATATTTTTAAGACTGAATTTCGTCAGTGAATGGAAAATAAAACGATAGTCGGGAAATAAAAAAAAAAGATAGAAAAAAAATTGAAATAAATCTTGTTCAACATCATCCGGAATCGAGATCTTTATCCTTAAAAGTCTTCTATTGACTGAAACGTACCACGAATGCGCGCATTTTAAGATCTTAAAAGCTCCTCATGGTCACTGGCCGATTCCAGAACTTCTCTGGAGGAGGTTGAGAATTTCAATATGACTGGTTTGGCATCTGGGGTGAACAACATAATTATTTGAATTGTTTGATCTTCGAGGGGGCAGCTAGTCCCTGTAATTATTTGATGCAAATTGCAAGGAGGTTTGTATAATAAACTTAAACAGATGCTAATGTTTTTGCATACACGTACATCTCGTGGTGTAGTCCTGGTTCATGGGCAGGTCTGCCTGGTCGATGCGGTCGAGGCCCCACTGGTACGTGAACGAGTCCGCGGTCACTTCCCCGTTCTCTGCAACGGACTTCACTTCGTCCAGATCGCGCACCTTGGAGAGCGAAATTATTCTTGATTTAATACCAAAACAAGGAAAATTGCTGTACATGTAGAATAACATTTCAGAATCTTTCTGAATATATATTTATGATGTTTGGTCAGGTCTCCAGTGAAGCCGTCACAACAACATTAATGTAATACAACGGCGGATCCAGGGAGGGGGCCAACGGGGATCACCCCCCCCCCCCCAAAAAAACGAACCGCATTGGGTTTTTTAAGTGACGTCGCAATAAAGGCAGGCACTGCGTACACCATCATCTTTTCCTTAAAAAAATGGTTAAAGTGGTCAGAAATTGCCTCAGATTGCACCACAGAGCATATAGAATCCCACAAAATTTCGGGGCCCTTACGCGGGACTTATAAGCCATGAACATGTAATTATATTTTGTACAAATTATTACCGAACCAAAGTACAACAGTTACCGACATCGGAATTGCTGAATTATGATTGATTTAGTCTCGCAAGTCATCGCTAAGAAAATCGCGGAAGTGATTTTGACAGTTTCGGCCTGCTTTGGGAATGGTTCATCAAATATCTTTACGAAGTACTTTCTCATACAAACTTCTTCCTTAAATGATTATTAGAACTCTTGGACTTTTCGAGTTTTATTTTGGTTCCCAGTAAAATAATTGGAGAAAAAAGTGGCGTTTTAATCGTACTCGGAACTTTCATTTTCGCTTTCACGAGTGGTAGGTCATCTCACAAACTGAAGTAGTGGGAAAATTTACCATTTCCAGCACCTCATCTGAGAGACGAACCACCAGAATCGGCATGACATTGCGGAGTCTGTGGGTGACTTGGCCCGTCTGATCCCGCTTCATGCCCGCCGTGGCGATCTTCTCGGATACGGTGTCAAGATCCGCCGCATCCTGTGTGAGGAGAAGGGGCGGGTCAAGGTTGAATTGGGGGAGTTTTCAGACGTTTCAAGAACTCTCGACCATGTAATTATTGCAAACATTTTATTTCTAGCAGGCATTGAGAAATTCTGAAGCATTGTTGCAAGTTAGCTTCATATTTAAGAAACAGAATATGCACTCAAAATTATGCAGCTACTGAGAATGCTTACCAAAAATTACAGAAAATCGTCTTTGCATTCCTACCAACAAACGTGTGATTTTTTCTTCAGTGCAATCGTCACTCATCACCAGCCTTTTTTGTTCAATTTGTAGGGTTAGTTTTCGAATTATATTGTTAGTTTTAACATTTCCTTACTTGTCAGCTTATAGCCACCGTGTTATTTTCAAAGTTGGGCGTTGGCGTTTGAACGGGGAGTCGGGTTGGTGGTGCAGTGGTTTGTGCTTTCGCCTTCCACCACGGTGACCTGGGTTCGAATCCCTCCAAGACCGACATGTGAATTTGGTTCTCAATCACTGCTTGTAATTGATTCCGTGGATGGAATATCATCCCGGGGTTTTCTCCTACCCGTCAAAAACTAACTATTGTTTTCATCGTCTTACCTTTCTTTTTGAGCTTCAAGGCTGCAGTGTCTGTGTAATTTTGAGAAATCCTTTGTCTCTTAAGTCAACGTAAATAAACAAATTAAAATAAAGTAAGTGATTTTCTAGCCATCTTGGTTTTTAGTAACTGCCTGATTGATTCCATGGATGAACACCATCCAGTATAGGTTTTCTCCTATACCCGTCAAAAGGTGAATATTTTTTTCATCGTTTTTTTTCTTTTTTGGGGGGGGGGGGTAACTCAAGATAATTGTTAAAAAATGAGGCAAAGTAAGTGACTTTATATTTACCTTGAGAGTTACCAGATATTCCGAGTGGATCTTCCTTGCGGTACGGTACAGGGGAACTCGTCCCTGTCTCGCAGCCGGGACCGGCGACGCGGTCACGGCCAGCAAAACCGCTGTCACCACGGTCAAACACGAACAGTTCATGGTCGGTCTTTGTAGGAACACAATTTGACAAAACCTCCAGTGAGGGGAGATATTCTAATCGTGGAGAATTTCACACAGGGTAGTTAATTATCCAGCACGTTTAGAACAATTGACTGATTCCTCTACAGGGTGTGTAAAAAGACCCGAAATCCAAATGTCGGACTACTGTTTTATTGAAGATCTGCATGTAGCACTTAAAAATTTAAGATATGAAAGCCCAATTCATAAGCGATCTTTTGGTACAAGAATCATTCAAATCACTTGTGTACTTTTTAAGTTACGGAATTTTAAACACAACCACCGATCTGTCCGAATCACAAAAAGGTGTGCGCTCTTTCAGCAAAACAAAACAATTCACACACATACCTATGTGATTTGCTTTCGTTTTGCTGAAAGAACACTTACCTTTTTGTGATCCGTGGACAGAACTTTAAACCAGTGGTTGTGTTTAAAATTCCGTAACTTGAAAATTACAAGAGTGATTGGAATGATTCTTGTACTTAAAGAAAGCTTATGAAGTGAAGTTTATATCCTAGATTTTGAAAGTGCTACATGCAGAACTTCACTAAAATAATGGTCCCGACATTTGGCGGTTTTTTTTTACTCACCTTGTATAGATATAGGTCTAGTCTCGACTTGAAATCTAGTCGCTACGAAAAATATACAGGCTAGACGTTTTATATAGCTTTCTACCTAAAATATAATTCACAGTGGATTTTAAAGTCATTAACCAGACTAGAGACTAAATTATGTTTGACTTATTTTTAATTGTATTTTTAATTAGACTTATTTTTAATTACAGTCAGCTGTAATTCCAGTGTAGTCACATCTGACTGTTTAAAAAAAACAATGAAATGCACAAGTGTAGATGTGTGGTAACGTAGACATTCTGGTTCGTGTGGTGGGCTTGAGCGTGATGCTTTGTTTTCCCCCATAGTGCACCCTTTCTCCCATCTTTGCGGGGGAAACATCTGCCAGCAAAAATGTCGTGTAAATGAACTCCTGATAAGGGCAAAACCCAATATTGATTTACATCACCCCGACGCTAATTCTATCTTATGAACAGTTTAGTTGCGGTGCCCGCTGATATATTCGATTCCAACCAGCCAACCGATCCGCGGCAAGCGCGGTAATCGAGTGGTGAGACCTCGGCACTGGAGGGCAGCAGGTCGGGGGCTCGATTCCCATCCGGTTGATTTTTTCTCACAATCATTCCGGACAACACTGAGTATACAGTGTTTACAAAAATACGTCGGTGAAGGGCAAAGCCCAATATTGAATTTACATTACCCTGACGCCAATTCCATCTTATGAATAATCATGATGTGCCGTTGGTGATCAATGCTAATAGCTAATTTTACAGGCAGATCAAAGCTGAGTTTGCTTGCTTGCTTGAGTACGGCTAAACTTATGTTAATGGTAGGCTAAAAAGAATCCCTACCCATGCGTAAATACCTCATGTGGACATAGCGTGGGTTTAATAATAATAAGACTTTCATTTCCACAACGCCCATTCGCAAATAGGCTTTCAACTACACTCAACCTAAAAAGAAAGTCCCCCTTCCAATACTTTTTTGTCTACCTCAAAAACTACTGAGCACCTCTCGCTCAAATAGCCACTGATCAGTACAGACATTTCTTAACAATCCAGCCATACTCTTGGCCTAAAGTAGTGATAATGTGTACGAATTTATGCAATTTATGACAAATGATACAGAAAACAGTTGCACTTTTGTTCACACTATATACAAAAGTGCAACTTTGTTTTCGGTACCATTTGTCATAAATTGCATAATCTTGTACACATTATCACTGTTTTTGGCCAAACAAAGTGTATGGCTGGATTGCTAAGGAATTTTTGTACTGATCAGTCGTAATTTGAGCAAGATGTGCCCAGTAGTATTTGAGTTATCAACAAAAAAATTATTAAGGGGGACTTTCTTTTTTTGGTTAAGTGTAGTATGAATATGGCCGTGCCCGAATCGGGCATTGTTGCTTATGGCTAAACGCCTTGTCAACGAAGCGTACTCAGGACGAAATCAAAGCCGAAGCCTGAAAATAAACTTTTGCTAAAAACAATTTATGTTTTTTGAATGGTTAGTTATTCGCTATCGTTATACACAACTAACACATGTCCAACTACGAACAGACAGTATTCAATCTTACCCAATTGTCGGGAAGTCTTCTTGCAACCGAGTTATCCGACACCAGAAGTGGTGGACGTCTGATCGTTTGCCTCGATATTTAAAGGCTTCCTTATCTCCTAACCATGTCAATAATTTTCTCCCTTCGGTGTCACCAACGCGATCAATTGCCACAATTGGACTTTTTCATCTTCAAAAAAACACAACTTGACAGAAAATTTGACGTTTGAACAAATGCCAAGTTATCACACCCATAGTAGCCACACCTCCTTGCCAGCTGCTATTAAACATCAATATCAAGAATTGTTGGCCATTTTGAGGGTATTGCGAATTTTTCCGGGAAAAAAATCGATATGAGGAACGTAGAAACGTAAAAGGTGCAGTTTATTGATTCCTCCCTTTAGTGCTGTAGATCTATTCTTCTTTTAAATTAACTAAAGTGTTTTCACAGTGTGGTTCGTAATCGATGCCGGTACTGTACAGCTGATAGTGTTGTTTTTGCATTTGATAGACTTTCTATACATTTGATAAACTTTCTATGGTTTCAAAAGAGAATACCCGAGAGTTTTATTAGATACGCATCGATGACATGTATGAAACTGACAAGTGGATAATGAATCGATGTTTTTAACCTCTTATAAAGTTTCAACCAAATAGCACCGCGTCCTTTAACTCATCGTAACTCATTTAAGTACAAAAGAACTTTACAATGATTTTTTTTTATTAATGTTTTTCATAAAACACTCAAACGTTTTGGTGCACAATGCTTTCATTGATTGATAATCGTTAACTATTGTTCCACGGTTCAATTTTCCCTTTGATACAATTCTTCAATAGGTAAAAATGCTGCAAAGATAATATTATGTACATTTTAAGAATGGGGACCAAGTTATCAAATGCGTGCCTTAAAATCGAATATTCTGGATAATATACACACTGAGATTTTCCTGTCTTTTCCTTTTGATGGATTTCCACGATCGTTAATTAATAAAAATTGTGAGATTGCATTGCGGATTTTGTTTCCTCGCTTACCATAGGGATTTTTTTTTTTAAATAATTGTTTTATCTTGGTATGACAAAAATACATGTACCATGACGAAGGGCCTTTTGCTGTTTGATTGATTAGCTACGGAAATGAGACGATCCATAACTAGCAATCTCTCTAAACTGAAGTTAATTTCGGTTGGAGATAGTGGTAGATAGTTCAATTTCAATTCAATTCAATTCTGGTTTATTTCATTAAAAAGACATCACCAAATAAAAAGTCAAAGACTTCAATAATTTAATTGGTTTACACAAATTACGATAAAAATTACAAGTTTATAAATACCCTATTAAAAATGAGCACTTCAGAATTCAAATTAACCTCAAATTAAAGATTACTCAAAAAATTAATAAGTGAGGAATGTTTATATTTATTTAAAACAATACTTGTATTTATTTAGCGCCCAATACTGATCGATAAAAGATAATACTGATAAAACGATACAGACGGTATATAGATAAGATATTTAAGAATATCGATTTAAGAATTTGGTTAAAAATATAACATTTTCGTTTTCCATTGTGCCCATAACCAGCGGGGAAAAGTCATAAACCGAAATCAAAAGTGAGACCGGTTCCTCTCAGTTTTTCTCGGCAAATTTCGTCGAATCTCTCGTTCTGGGCCACCGTGAACGTGCTTTTCCAGCCTCCACTTTTCCCTGCAATGGCCAAACAAAAGAGCAGGTTAAAACAGAAAACGTGTTAATTATAAATAACCACTCGTCAATATCGGGCAATTTCGCGCAAGAAATATTGTTGACCAATGGTTGGCCATAGTTCGACTAAATTTAGCCCGAACTCTGTCTGGTCGACGATGGTTGACTACGCTAGTCGACTACATTTGTATTTGGAACCAGCCTACTGCAGCTGGTCGCGCAACGATTTATAGCTGGTTATCGACAGCAATTTCCATAGCATGGTGCAGAGAGGACCAACTATCAACAAAAATGGCGGAAACGAAAATGTGAGCGCTAAATTTCATTTTCATTGCACAGTTTTTTTCCATGTCAGTTTACGATTATGTCATTTTTGTCACCATTAATAATATTGTCGATTATGTAAGGTGTCCTAAAATATACACAATCACTATTATTTGTGTAAATAAAGAGAAACAACAAGTGTTGAATAATTGTGCGACCGCCATTTTTGATGGTCGTTGACATGACAATAGTTCGACTAGAGTCGCTCGCACTTCAACTTCAGTGCGCATGCGCTAGGTACGTCACGAACAAACCACTAGTTAAACACTGGTCCTTGCTCGAACTTGCCCCAAGCCTCACAGTGCCCCTCTTTGTCAGTATAGATTTTTTTTAAAAATAGGTTTTGGAAATCATAAAATGGATTTTTGAAGGTATTCCAGGTGCAAAAATAATAGGCATTTAGGCCCCTATAGGTTTTCACCGTGAAACACCGTGCAATTTGTCAGCATGAGGTAGCAGAAACACATCGAATTGCTAACCTCAAGTACTCCACTGTCCGATTCTGAAAACACTTGTACAAAATCTAAGGACTTGATCACACTTTGGAATTCTCAGGGATAGGGATTTTGGTCATACATGTATTCGTTTATATGAGAACTTCTGCGACGAAGTTGCAAGGGTAGGCTATAATATTATGTTATAATCTGTCTTGTACGAGCGTTTATAGGCCTATGCTAGGAAATGTTTGTGTGACGCTTGTAATCTATGCTAGGGTCCACGGGCGTCGCTAAAGGCGGGGGGGGGGGGGGGGCGGCGGCGGCGTGACCCCCAATTAATTTTTGTTTGTAAGCAAAATCGTTCTCCTGTCGGGAAAAATCGTGTGTCCATCGAAAAATGTACTGTATAAAGAGCGCCACCTATTGTTCAATAGTGTCCTTGATTGTCTACTTTAAACAGCGCCACCTGTATGAATATGCTTTCCAACCCAGCCCCCACCCTATCCCTTTTTCGGATGAGTGGACTGGTAGCGAACTTTCTTGTCGTATCGCAAGTTTCAGGTCTAGGTATGTACCTGTTCGCATGAAGGCCTTCATGTTGCCGTAGCTATCGTCTAGATTGGCCTTGGGGTTAGTCTTCATGGAGCTGAAGGTGCTGGACTCGTACACCTGATCCACCTGTGCCTCAGTCAGACTCTCCCCGATGAACGAAGCCACTCTGGCTATGGTGCTTCTCAGATCCTGCACCAAAACATTTCAAACATGATTATGAACATTCGAATCTGTAGGCAGTGGTAAGGGGTTGGGGTAATCTGTGGTAAGGGGTTGACCCTCCCCCATCCCCAACCAGGCCTATGGCCCCTTATGCCCCAACAGAATTTAGAAGAAAGGCAAACACTGAGCTTTCTATTGTTAATTACCTATTTAGTGCCCCATCCAGAATGACGTCCGCTTAGACGACCTTCCCTCCCCCTGCAAATTGGACCCACATTACACCAATGCCGGTATTAATCCATATATTTTTGTTATTGAAAGCGATCACGCCCACAATAACCAACTATTCACGAACATTGCTCAAACATTGAAACTGAAGCAAGTCTGGTTTTCACAACACAAAAAAGTATGCCACACTGGTTTGATAAGGAATTAAGCAACAATGTTACCAAATAAGAAATATAAATTGTCATGTTTTATTTGTGTCTTTTCCCCCCTTTTTTATGATATTTTCTCACACAGCTTTTCGATTGTGTTTGACAAGCTCCACTCCCGAAATACACATTTTTGATTTTGGGGTTTCCACCGGAATTAGTGACGTATCAAGCGTAGTTGGTAGGGAGGTGACGCTCACAATTCTGTCGATATACCCCATGGCCCGATTATGTCTGGTACCTGGTATCACTTACTCTTTGCATATCCTCATACTTCACAAAGAGGACATTGGCTTGGTGCCGTCTCTTCCACCAGAACAAGTTGTGGTCGAAGACGCAGCCATTGATCACTGCAGAGTACGGGAGGAGAAATGTACAAGGCTTAAGCAAATATGAAGATCATGAGAAGAAAATGAAGTCACGAGAGATCAAAAGAGAACGAGAAGTCATTACTGGGGCATCTGTATGTTTTCACAGTGTTAACATGTATGTAACTGTATGTTAACACTTTCTTTGAACACTTTCTTTCTTGATTTTTTTTAAACTGTGGTGGTGAAAAGGCATCGTTAGTTTTTTTTAACATGACCTGTTGGAAGCCGTCAACATACAGGTCTATGTGCCATGTGGCCAGGGATTTGACTAGCTAAATCGTAACTTCGGGATATCATTCTGTCTAGTGAACATTGAAAACGTTGTCAGTTTTACCTGCTCCCCTGATGAACTCTTCGAAGAAGACGTCCCAGGAATCGTAGCCGGGCAAGAAATAAGCCGACCTGTGCCAGTGGTAGTAGGATACGGCCACGTCTTTGGGGTTCCTGCTGACGTAGATGATCCGCGGTGCCTTGGTCAGCATCTGCTCGGGGAGCATGCAAGACGGCAGGTGGGTCTTGATCAGTCTCGGTGAGGGCGCTTCGTCCAAGACCACGTTCCCGGGTTTCACCAGACCCGCCTGAGAAGACAAGGGAACAGAATCAACATGGACTCCGTATAGATGGCGCTTCTTGAACATTTTCCGAAGGATCCAACGGGGGGGGGGGGGGGGGGGACACACCTCAGGCGCGCACGAGTAATATTAATCCCAATGCGCACAATAGACAGAATAAGACTAAATAAGCTAATTTATTCTTCTGATATTTACGACACAAGCCCGTAGCATCATAGCGTGAGCACCATGCGTACGACCGAATATCCCGCCCAGTGGTCTCCCAAACTCTCGCTTCGTAACCCTTGAGGGGGTACTTGTGCACGAGGTCCACTGGCAAACTGCTTGTGAATGTGTGAGATTCATTTCCCAATAAAATCAGACAAAAATAAATGTGTGCGGAAACTTTGACGGTTACTGAAAATCAGCCAGAGTATAGGTTGTGGCTTGTGTAATGACGTCACTATTACTTGGCCAAATCAACGTTCAAAACAGAATGGACAAGGACAAAATAATGATGAAAGCAGCCGAAAAATAATCCCTCGAATTGACTGCGTCGGTATAGTGGGCTCAATAGGGAATGTGTATTAATATTTGTGAAACAAAATAAAGCATTGATTCGGTGTCACCTTTTTTCCCGCAAGACCAAGTCAGGCTGTATCATAAATCCTACCATAAACTGTATTTCATTTCATCTGATTAACCCATGATGCATTTGTTGTAATTTTTGTTCCAACGAAAGCTGGCGCAAGTTATAACCTTTGGTAAGTGCCACATATCTTTCCAACGTATAATTACAAAATGACATGTAATTTGTCATAACAAATCAGCTTTTTTCCCGGGCGAATTTCAACCTTGATCAAGTTCGAGCGGGAAACAATTAGTTCGACTCAGTTCGCTCGAACTAACGGATGGTTTATTTAATTTGTTTTATTTCTTTCTGGTAATGAAACCAAGGATTCATCAAAAGTGCCCTATACAGGCACTGTAGCTTGAAAGCCTGAAGAATTCTGTAGAGAGGACAATGAGAAAAATTACAGTTTTAGAGGTGGGAGGACAAGCCCAGAGGACTATTCTGAGAGAAAACCCACGGAGTCAGGCAGGGACTGAAAACCCAATCCACATATTGGCCCGGGCGGGATTCGAACCCGGGTCACAGCGGTGGAAGGCGAGGAATGTAGCGCTACGCCAACCTGACCCCCCCCCCCCCCCAAAGAGTCAGGTTGGCGTTGGACTACAGCCGACTAAGTTTGAGGCACGGTTGCATCGCTGGTTACCAATAGCCGTGCGCATCCTCTAATGCACAACGGGAAACAGGACCAAGAAATTTCGTGATGACGAAAGTTGACCATCGCGTTCACACTTTGGTAGTTAGTGCGCATGCGTATATTATACGTCCCAAATTGACTACTTGTCGACTAATAATGGTGCTCGCTCGAACTTGCTCCTTGTTGTATCCCTTATTTGGTTTTCTGGATCGATCGTAAGGCAACGATATAACGAACCTGTGAGATGTGATGGATCCATGTCGATTCGAGATTAGGGAACCGAAAAGACAAGTGCACCTCCTTGTTAACGCTGACACGGCCAGTCAGCTTCATCACCTCCAGGACTATATGCTGCATCCACGTGGTGCCTGGGTCAAAGTTCAAGCAGGTGATCAGGTGATAAACATTATGAGTAAGCCAAATTATAAGCGGTGTCCCGTGATCTCTGCGTAATTAGCGAGAACTCTCTGTCGAGATGAACTCTGGAGTGCGTGCATGTTTAAAAATTGTACATGTACATGTACCCACGCAAAGCGTGTAGGTATATTTTGTGCTGCCCACAGTGCTTACGGACCAATCAGACTTTGTGGAAGGAAGCGTCATCACGGCGTACAACCAATGAAATCCGAGACCTCGTGAGGCTTGTACCGTACTACATGTCCTCATCCAACGAGGTCATATGTCTCTAGTTTATTGTTTACTCCACCTCGTTCCATGGCGTCTAAGTAGGAGGCTATGACTAGCCATGTTGCTGCTCCTTTTTACCGGATCATTACGGAATAGTCTTGAGCCATGCAATGCTGCGAGTCAATTTTTTTAATAGTATGTTTTTCGTCACTAATCCAACTTCCATTTTTACACTAAAATAGAAAAAAAAGCCGTTCATTTCCTCCAAGAACAAAATCGGATACCGCCTTGGGCAATGACATCAAACTCGGCAACATGAAAATCGTGATGATGCAAAGAAACCCACACACCTTTTGTGACATTGGTTGTTCCCACATGCATCGTTTTTATCGCGTACCTGATTTTGGGTAGGTCATGACGAACACGTCATCGGGTCGGACCTCCCACGTGGGCAGGGCGTCCAAGGATGCCCTCTCGCAGATCGTGTACATCCGCACCCCCTTATAGACATAGTCTAGCTCCTCCCCTTCTTCTGGTGGAACCACGGGGAGGGATCGGTAGGCTTTCATCAATTCTGGAAGGAAAAGGGGAATGGTTTGGTGGCCCTTAAGTAATATCTAAAAGGACATATTTAATTAATTAAAACCCTACAGTCCCGAATCTCGGGCCAATTTTTATACGATTTACATACACCCTCTAGGGGGTAACTGTTTGTTCAGACTGGGACCTTTAGTGCAGAAAAACACGCAAACCAAATTCTGGCCAACTTTATCCAAAATTATCCAAAATTTTCATTAGGCAAAGACAAGGTCCTCGGTATTACACCAGCTAAGTTTGAATTGAATTGCAACGTAGGCCTAGCCTACACCTACAGGTTTCAGATACAGTTATATTCAATACAGTGTGTACTTTTACTTTTTCGTCAGCTCTTCTTTATTTATATTGTTTGTTCATTTGCTTTGTGCGCGAACTTAAACAAGTACTGTCTTGCAAGAACCATGGGCTTCATCATCGTTTGTCCCTCCCCCCACTTTTTTTCGTCCCCCCCCCAAAAAAAAAAATTCCGGCGTACATTTGATTCTATAGCTCAGAATAGCTGAATCGATTACTCCAAACTCGAAAAATGATGTTTAAATTATGATCTTTTGCTAAAAAAAAAGGTGTTGAAGTGGTCAGAAAATTGCCTCAGATCGCACCACAGAGCGTCTAGAATCCAACATTTTTCGGGGCCCTTAAACGGGCCCCGAACCCCACGCAGTTACGGCTTTGCGCTCTCATTGGTTCCGATAAAGCTATACACTCTAAAATATAGTTGCTCAATATTGGGTAAAATTACTACCTTTTCGAGAGTAAAAAGGGAACATGGTCGTCAACTTGTGTAGTTTTTTTTTTACACAACAGCTAAAGTGTAGAAAGGTACCCATTTCAGTGTAACTTTTACCCATAATTGTGTTACGTGTTTGCACAACAAAGTTGGGGAAGAAAGTTTACCCATGTGACGACCGTGTTCCCTTTTTACTCAATTATTGGGTAAACTTTACCCAACCCTCCTTTTACCCAAGTGTTGTGTCAGTTTCTTACCCAGATATTGGGTTCTAATATTTACCCTGCATTGTTGGGTTCTAAATTTACCCATCACTTGGGTTGTTTTTAAATTAGTTGTGTACCTTTGTTATTGACCCTTGCGGTTTTATTCAACTTTGAACTCTGCAATTTGAATTGCATGCTAGAGACAGCAATCGCGAGGGATTTCAATAACTGAGTCCTGGGTTGGAAAGTCAGTAAAATGAATAAGATGATATTTCCCCAAATATGGTGCTGATGCATGAGGACTATTACGAAGAACGTGGGCTAGATGATGGGCAGGGGTGTTATAATTTCCCTCAATCAACTCATTCAAAAACAATGCCCCAAATGTCGGTCACTTTACTGCGTGTTTGTAGATCTGATAACACTCGCTAACGGTGCATGAAATGCATGCATCATTGTGCATGGAATCGTGGTTGGCAGAGCCGTGACTTCCAAGTTGCAAATAATGTCTAAATAATAAGCATGTCACTTCTCCAATCTCCCCGATATTAATCCTCATACATCAGGATCGCATTTGGAGGAAACAACACTGAAATTCATTTCACCGACTTATCTGGAACAAAGAAATCTCGTCTTCAAAACCCCCAAATTGTTGAAGGTCTCACAGGCGGCGGCCATTTTGTACATGAGTGATACGCGGGCACAATATTGGGCAAACGTTGTCACGGTGCGTCAGTTTACCCCGCACCGTGGTAACATTTTACTAATGTCGTGGTAAATTCTACTCTTCGACGAGTTCAATGAACTGAGAATTGTTACACAGTTGTGGGGTAAATTCAGTTTCTTTAACCCATCACTTGGGTAATCATACCATGATTTTAACTTTTTTTCCCTGTGCTGCTGGGACTTGTACTTTGTAGTCAATGTTGGGTATTATTTTACCTTTTCATGTGTAACACATTTGACACAAGTAGGAGGTACAAGCGAAATTTCATTTTGCTCAATATTGAGCAGAAATGACACAATTTTTTTAAACAACAGTTTTACACAACATAAATTTACACTTCTTTTTTAGAGTGTATGCCCCCCACACTTTTGATAAGTGATTGATGCCCTTGAATGATATGAACACGGACAGATGGAGGAATAAGAACACATGTGAACAAGGATGATACAGTATGATATGAAACAACTGACTTACCGTAGTATATATCGTAACTGTTGTTGTTGACACGATGCATGTCGATCCCCCATATGCACGGCGAACGATGACAAACTAACTCACCAAAAAATGGGGTACACCAACACAAGATAGTGTTCACTGCTTTTACACTCTTTACAATTGCAACCTTTGGCCAGGTCTCTCTCGTGGTCCAGTGAACCCCAATTATCGGTCCACTACATGTACACGTAGCACACGCGTAAAGATTTTGCACACATAATACGATAACTACAATTGCAACCTATGGCCAGTTCACTCTCGTGGTCCAGTATACTGTTGCGTTCCCGCAAATTGCGTAGTTTACTTCTTTCCCAACCAGTCCATTCCACTCCGTGCACAGCGTAATGCTTGCAGCGATCCTGTGTGCCCTCACACAGCGCGAAGCTTTACCACGAAGTCTTAGACACACGTATAAGTGTGCAGCACATTGACGCTATTGTATAGCGCGCAATGCATGTAGCTCTCACAGCTATTGAACATGTACCGCCATGGGACATGTACTTAGGACTTAGCCATTTTCCCTCCACCTTTCCCCGGAGTCGATGCGAATTCCCCTCACACACCTTACCTCGCATCCGACCCACATTGACCCCAAGCATTTAGCGAATGTGGCTCGCTAAAACCTACCCGTGTATTCACCCCTCAGTGAACCCGTACACCCCAGCGAGTGTGTCCCGCTAACCCACTGGCCGAGACCTACGGTAGCTAGAGGTCAGGTTACGTCCTTCATCTCATAGTTTTACTCCATAGCATTAGTGTGTAGATTCTTACCTAGTCTAGAGACTAAGTCTTGTACACAAACCTATGTACCGAGAAGTTATTCCCTTTCCCTTTTCCTTGAGGATCAGTTCCCCGTAAGGCACCCACGAGTGATCCTACTTCGCCCGCTAACCACTGCTCTCGGACTTTCTTCCAGTAGATTGTCTAAGTCAGTCGTGTACAAATCTCCCATAGAGAACTTTCCCCATGCCTTTGTACACGGATGCATTATTCATAACTACTAGAATCCAATGCTCCCATTGGCTAAGACGCGCCCCCAAAAGTCTATATAAAGCGCGTAGAACAAGCAGTTCTGGTCATTGTTGTACTGGGCTCTTCCCCAGTAGATTCCTGAGCTGAGCTCTGACCTACACAGAGCTCCCGCATATGATGCATTAAATTGTTGATCACGTAGATTATCGAGCTGTCCGCTCACTGGCCGTAGACCCTAGTCGGTACCAGATAATCATGTACGCCTTAACTTTACATTGTATATAGTGCGCCCTCTATTGACCTGAGATGTAAATAATCCCGAATAAAGTACTAGAGTGTGTGTGTAAGATATTTGTATCTGACTCTTTATTTGATAATGTCTCTCAACCCAGAGAGACGTTACAATACAATAATTGCAACCTATGGCCAGTTCACTCTCGTGATCCAGTATACAATAATTGCAACCTATGGCCAGTTCACTCTCGTGATCCAGTATACAATAATTGCAACCTATGGCCAGTTCACTCTCGTGGTCCAGTGAACCCCAATTATCGGTCAACTACATGTACACGTATGCACAAGCGTAAAGATTTTGCACACATAATACGATAACTCTATACAATTGCAACCTTTGACCAGTTCACTCTCGTCGTCCAGTATACAATAATTGCAACCTATGGCCAGTTCACTCTCGTGGTCCAGTGAACCCCAATTATCGGTCCACTTCATGTACACGTATGCACACGCGTACAGATTTTGCACACATGAGTACGATAATTCGTTTCTGTAAGATAAAGGCAAATAAAGGTTCTACGTCACCTCCATTACGTAACTCCGAGACCATATGAGATAGCGCTTGTCGCCCAGCAGATCATTGTGCTTGAAACCTAGCCGAGGATCAGACGAACGTAATTTGTTCCAGAGCAAATTTCAATTGTATACTTAGCACACGCTGCGTTACATACCATGACTGAAGCCTATGTCGACAGCGTGTTGGAGTTGGATACCTTGTCTGCTATGTCAGACTTTTCTCGGCATGCCACACCTACTAGAGGTGAGAGAATCCAACCTACTATGGAGAAATCTCCGGACAGTCACCCAGTGCCACCCGCTGTTAAACAACAAGGTCGTAAAGGCAAAGGCAAGGGTACTGCAAAAGGTTAAAAACTTGCACCTAAAAGGACTCGAGGATCGCGGGCAAATGCCTCAGAATCATTATCTACTCAGCAAGGCGATAATTCGCTTAATAATGCTGAGATGTGGCAGAATTTAAATGATTCCTTTGTGGCTAACATGCAACAAGGTTTTTCCCAAATAGCGGTGCTATGACAGTTCATATTGCGGGGTTAAATAACCCAAAACGCAAAGCTAAAACCGAAAGCGGTAATCATGTGGGGAAAAAAGTAAAATTGCAGAATAGTAGTGCTGAAGAAAATTCCGACGCACAAATCGATGATTTAATGATTTCTGCCAATGAATCATCAGATGAAACTGATTTGCTAGGGGACATTCAGCAGGAGTCATGAGGCTGAGGACAACACTGGGCCAAAAGCTAAGGACAAACTGGCAACACTAGTGGACAGAATTTTGAAAACAAAGCAGAACTCATACCCTCGCCCACAAAATTGTGACACAAAAACTGTTGTTAACCCAGAAATCTGGTGGCAACTAAAACCCAGTACAAGATCAATGGACATCAAATGTCAAAAAGTGCAAGGATTACTGATAACATCCTTTGTACCACTTGTACAGCTAACTGACAAACTCTTGACTAAAGAAAATTCTAAGGAAGAGGTTAAACTTGCAATTGAAATATCTGGCTGTCTGCATCACACATACCCGGCTAACCCAACGTGTAAGCCGACATGGAGTCCAGGCGCACGAATGTCGATATCGAGTGGATGCTTAAGCCGCATTTGTTTCGGCAATTGACAAAAATATTTTTCACACCAGATATGGACTTATTTGCCTCAAGATTAAATTACCAGTTGAAGCCCTATGTTTCTTGGAAACCAGACCCTGAAGCTCACGCAAATGATGCGTTTTTATTACCGTGGAATAATTTCCGTTCTTATGCTTTTCCTCCATTCAGTCTGATAGACCGTGTACTTCAGAAGGTACAACAGGACCAAGCGGATGGATCGCTTGTAGTCCCGAATTGGCCAACTCAACACTGGTTTCCGAATGTGATGAGTATGTTGGTGGCACAACCGGTGCTGATACAACCATACAGGGCACCACTTTTACCGCAAGACCAGGCGGCAGTACACCCCCTACATCAGAAGATGTCCCTTCTGGCATGCCACTTGTGCGGAGACGTCTCCAAAGCTCAGGCATTTCGGACCGCTCTGCAGAAGTCATCCTGTCCTCTTGGCGGCCAGGAACGCAGAAACAGTATCGAACATACTTACTCAAGTGGCAATTATACTGTAGTAAAAGAAACATTAATCCAATATCGCCATCGATAAGCGAGGCTCTGGATTTTTTAACTGAATTTTTTGAAGCAGGGTTAAGTTATAGTGCTATTAACACCGCCAGATCGGCAATAGCCACTATTGTTGAGTTTCCTAATGGAATATCATTTGGTAGTCACTCATTAACTTGTAGGTTTATGAGAGGAGTATTTGTAAAGAGACCCTCCTTTCCTAGATATCGAACAATCTGGGATGTAAGCATTGTCTTACGATATTTTGATTCATTGGATATCAATGCAAAATTGTCACTGATGTATCTATGTAAAAAAGTAGTAACGTTGTTAGCATTGTTATCAGCTCAGAGAGTGCAGACTTTGTATCTACTGACACTCAGTGATATTAATCTAACAGCCAATGAGTGTCGTATTTCAGTTCACAAACTACTGAAACAAACACGCCCAGGAGTGCATTTGTCAGATATTATTTTGCCTGCGTTTCCTTCTAATAAGAAGCTTTGTGTGGTTGAAGCACTGAACGAATACTTATCTCGCACTTCTACACTGCGAGGAAATCAATGTAGTGTTTTTATTGGTTACAGAAAGCCGTATAAGACTGTTTCTAGAAATACCATCAGTCGATGGATTAAAAATGCGTCAAATGACGCGGGCATTGATGCTTCCGTCTTCAAAGCACACAGTGTACGAGCAGCCTCAACATCAGCAGCCAGTAATTGTGGTGTTCCCATTTAGACCATACTGGCCACGGCAGGCTGGTCTGGATCTGCAACTTTCGCTCGGTTTTACAACAAACCAATAGAGAAGCTTGCTGCATTTTCAACAAAACTTCAGGAAAGTTTATCTTAAGAATTTACAGACTTACAATTTAATTCCTTTATTTGTATATGGAACAAAACGGTCTGTATTATAATAATTTTTATATATTTTGCAGTTATGTATTGTGTGCTGTACAACAATAAATATTTATGTGCAAAGATGATCTAGCCATGGTTGTTCTATCTTGATTAAAGTTTCGTTTTACCTGGCTCTAAATATCTCATATGGTCTCGGAGTTACGTAATGGAGGTGACGTAGCATCCTAAAATTAAACGAGCATAATTACGATGTTTGATTGAGATTCTACGGAACCGTAATTACGTAGCGAAAGAGATCATAATGCCCTCCCTAATTGGTATCCAACCCCATTCCCTTGTTTCTTCACAGGTAAACTCAACTTTGCGCTAAAGAATGATCTGCTGGGCGGCAAGCGCTATCTCATTATGATCTCTTTCGCTACGTTATTACGGTTCCGTAGAATCTCAACCAAACATCGTAATTATACTCGTTTAATTTTAGGATTACAGTGGGCTGATCTCTCCGGAATTCCGTGATGATCCGTCACAGACTCAGATATATCCGGCTGGACTTTCCGGTGAAAGCCTGGCACCAATTATAAACTGCATGGTCGGTCATCAGTCGCGATTCAACGGGGGTGCTGATGGGATACCGGAACACTGTTTTTTTTACCGGAAGTTCTTCTTGAGAGGACTGAGAATAAACACATGCCGCTATGTAGGTGAAGGGACGAACCTGTGTTCACAGGAACGGAGTGCCCATCTCTCTTTCATTTAGCGATTGGGCCAGACTCATAATGCTGCTGTGGGGGGATCGCCACACCTCCTCCACAGCGAGTCTGTTACCTTTCCAGCATTGAATAATGCCGGTACCCATTTAACACCTGGGTTGAGAGGAGTAATTGAGGTGAAGCGCCTTACTCAAGGGCACTTGACACGCATGGCCACGGCGGGGCTCGAACCCACAACCTCCCGATCATGAATCATGTGCTCCACCGCTAGACCACACGTGCCCCTATGCCGCTATGAAGGGAGGCTACGTTTTGCATGCAACCTATAAAGTACATGTACACGCAAACTACAATGTGAGTACATGTACTTGACAATGCAGC